CCTGATCAACACCCCGAGAACTGTTCCCAAACAGAGCGATTTTTTCAACCCAAGGGATACATTCCGGCAGCAGTCGAGCTACAAGAAGTTTCCTATGGCAACACACAACAGCAAACAGGATGGCGGCATCACATTTGCCGCCCAAGACAAGCTGCCCAAGCTTCCTATCCCGGAATTGGAGAGTTCCCTCAAGAGATACCTCAGGGCCTTGAAACCACTTCAAACACCACGAGAGCATTCTGATTCACAACAAGCCGTGGAAGAATTCCTCCGAGTGGATGGTCCTGAGCTGCAGGAAAAGCTGAGGAACTATGCTCAGGGTAAAAGCAGCTACATTGAACAGTTTTGTAAGTATTTCCTCTCTCCTGGCGCCTTACACGACCGCCCCAGACAGCCCCAGACTAATTTTATGAATAGGGTACGACTCATATCTCAATTTTGACAACCCCGTTGTGCTCAACTTGAACCCCTTCTTTCTGTTGGAAGATGACCCGACACCAGCACGTAATAATCAGGTTACCAGAGCCGCCTCGCTGGTGGTATCTGCGCTCGAGTTTGTTCGCGCCGTTAGAAAAGAGGAACTTCAACCAGACAGTATCAAGGGAACGCCATTATGTATGTATCAGTTTTCACGATTGTTTGGCACCGCCCGGGTGCCTACGGAAGCAGGATGCCAGATCGAGCAGGATCCAGAGTCCAAGCACATTGTCGTTATGTGTCATGGTCAATTCTACTGGTTTGATGTTTTGGACGACAACTCAGACTTGATCATGACAGAGAAGGACATATCTATCAACCTACAAACCATCATCGACGATGCCATCCAGATTCCCATCCAGGAAGCAGCAAAGGGGGCGCTTGGCGTTCTCAGCACCGAAAACCGAAAAGTATGGTCTGGTCTTCGAGATGTCCTCCACCAGGAGCCGGCATCAAACAATGCTGACTCGTTGAACATCGTCGACTCAGCTCTCTTCATTCTTTGTCTCGACTATACGGAACCCTCAAGTGTTGCAGACCTTTGCCAGAACATGCTCTGCGGAAGCAGCCTAGTTGAGAAGGGTGTGCAGATAGGAACTTGCACGAACCGTTGGTATGACAAGCTCCAAATTATTGTCTGCAAAAACGGAAGTGCGGGTATCAATTTTGAGCACACCGGTGTCGACGGCCACACCGTTTTGAGATTTGCAACCGATGTGTACACAGACACCATTCTTCGATTCGCTCGCTCTATCAACAACCAGGCGCCCAGCTTGTGGGCGTCAACCAGCCCGGATCCTTCCAAGCGACACCCCGATAGCTTCGGAGTTGTGAACACCACCCCGAGGAAACTAGAGTGGGATATGATCCCTGAGCTCAGCATCGCAGTCCGGTTCGCTGAGACAAGACTGGCAGATCTCATTGGTCAGAACGAGTTCCAGTGCCTTGACTTTGCCGCATACGGCAAGAACTTCATCACATCGATGGGGTTTTCTCCTGATGCGTTTGTGCAGATGGCTTTCCAGGCGGCGTACTATGGACTCTACGGTAAGGTAGAGTGCACTTATGAACCTGCGATGACTAAAGTCTTTTTGCACGGGCGGACGGAGGCCATCCGCTCTGTCTCAGAAGAATCAGTAGATTTTGTGCAGACATTTTGGGGCGACAACCCTGCTGAACAGAAGGTCGAGGCCCTGAAACGAGCTTGCCAGAAGCACGTCTCTATGACAAGAGAATGTGCCAAAGCCGAAGGATGCGATCGCCACTTGTATGCGCTCTTTTGTGTTTGGCAAAAGTATGTCAACAACGAAGATGGCGACGAAATCAGCACCAACGGCTATTCGAGTCCCACTGATGGGTATTCCGAACAAGGCTCCTTCTCGCCAGTTGGCAGCCCCGACCGGAACTCAGCACACTCAGCAGATGGGGTGGAGGTAAAGCCCACAAGAGACCGCGGGGACAGCACCGCCTCAAGACTCAGAGATGCCCAACCACTTCCCGCTATTTTTGCCGATGCTGGCTGGGATCGTCTTAACACAACTATCCTGTCTACTTCCAACTGCGGCAATCCATCACTTCGTCATTTTGGATTTGGTCCCACTTCTGGCGACGGCTTTGGAATAGGCTATATCATCAAGGATGATGGCCTTTCTATCTGCGTGTCAAGCAAGCACCGCCAAACACGCCGCTTCCTCGATACTCTGGAGAGCTATTTGCTCGAGATACGCCGCATCTTGAGAATCACCAACCGCAAGTTATCAACGGGCAAAGCTAGCCGTGCTCGTGAAATTGAAGACGTGAAGCCAAAGCCAGTCAGCCGACTCAAGTCGCGAGGAAGATTGATCACATCTCACGATGGCCTCAGGCCTTTGAGGGGCTTTGGAAGCACCGGTGGTGCCACTTCCCCGACAGAGGAGAGTATCGCACTGAGCGAAGAGGATGACGAGCTAGGTGGATGTAAGTGCCCGCAATACCTGTTTCCCGTTCTCTTTATATAAGCATGAATGTATACTAACAGCACACTAGATGGATTCTTTGACGCCGGGATGCTTTTACAGGCTCTCAAGGCACGGGGTCATCAGCACGCTGAGGCAAAGGCAGCAGCGGAGCGGGCTGCTGTGCAGGCAAGGAGACGAGATGTTGGCAAGAAGTTACGATTAACTGAATATTGATCGGGAATCGTACGATTCATGAGTAAGAATAAATGGCATATAAAGCGTTGATTTTGTCAGATTTGCATGTAGGCTACTACTTGTATCTATATCTCTGGTTCACTATTGTCATAAATCAAGACCTCGGTTGTAAAGATGGTCAATTGGGCTTCCTTGAATATGATGACTGCACCTGAACTTAGTAGAACCTCCTGGTCTAGATGCAGAGACCATGTGTATGGAAGCCGGTTTTTCTTTTTCTTTCCTTTTTTTCTTTGTTTTCCCAATAAAATTCTTCACTGTTAGAGACGTGCTGAAGAATGTGATTTATTGGTTTGGAACAATCGAGAAGCTTGGCCATTCCAAAATCGGTGGGATCTTCACCGATCTCCCAATTTGGTATCCATAGAATGAACCCAAAATCTCATTGAAGATTTTCCAGAGAACATTGAATAAAGGTGACGCAAGGATCTACAGCATTAAGAACTACTACAAAGTTACAGAAAATGGAGAGTGCCGAGAGAAGAATGCAAGGCATGGAGTCTGAGAGTAGCGCGGAGGAATAATGGGCAGTATGTATCAGCCGTGAACAGTTCAACGGCCAATCGAGGAGACAAATGTTATCCAAATAAGATGAACAATAACTTATATGAAGATGGATTGTGTATTCACGACGAAAGATTCATGCTCCCTAAGTTTTATAGCAGAAGCCGGCCATGTCTTACGTCCAGGGCATCGCTTGGTTCAGGGTAGTCGAGGAGGTGGTGAGGGCAGAAATGTCAGCGCGTGAGATCACGATTAGAAAACCCCCCGGTGCAGGTTTGTCATGAATAGGTGGTTTGGTCACCCCTGGCGTATTGATATGGCAGGCAAGACCAGGAGCGTTTGAGCCTCACTAGTATGAACAAACAAATGCATAGGTGAGGCGGTGATAAGGAGTACATGCAGGAAGTGCATATTTCCGGAAGTGCATTTGAGGCACGCATCAATGCTACGTCGTCATTGATCAATCATCGCTTAATTTTTCGCTTATAGCTGGTTGCCTGCAGATGCCGTTACGGTTGAGGTGGCACCGGTCTGGATGGTCTGAGCATGCCATTCCTGCGAATGTTGAAGAGGGTGTGCTCAAGCCCTCCTTGAGGAAAGGTTCTAACATTTGCGCCGGATGGCACCAACAGGCCCCCACCAATGAGTTGTGCTTCCTCCAGGTTTGCTAAAAGCTGACATAGCTGTGACCAAGGTCTTGTTTCATACGATCCACTGCACATCTTGGACAGGCTTATCTGCACAGAGACAATTGAACATTGATCTTGAAGTTCACTGACCGGGCTGTTGCAGAGGCTTTCTTCGGTGGAAGAACAGCCTTACACAACACGTCTAGCAGCGTCGGTTCCAAATACGATTCCTCATAAATGACCGGTAATTAAGGTCAATTTAGCATTGACCGACATGCTGTTCCGTGATGAGGCTGGCTATATCTAATTGCTGCCAGCTTGGTGTGATGGCTTGGCTGAGGCAGTGACAAAAAAACTGGCAAAGCAGGCAGAAAGTGAAGGAGGGGCAATCAGACGAGGCACCAAGGGTACCTTCAAGGTTTAGATTTTCGATTGGTGGGGCAGGTACCTCGCGGTACCGTCTGGGCGTTGGTGCTCCCAGTGAGACTGTTCGGGCAGTGTATGGCGGTTGCCTAGGCACCGACCCGGCAGGACACCACAGCGAGCAACAGGGCGGTACCTCCCAGGTGGAAGGCTGCAAGCTGCCCCGCGGTGATGGCACAGGCTGGAAGCTCCCAGATGCCAATGACATCAGTGACTACCGTGGAGGCTCCGTAGAATCCGACCGCATCGCCAGCTGCCATCCTTGCTGTGATTCTCAGATGACTGGAGATAATGAGCTGCCAGCGAAGCCAATAGAATTCTGTGCAAAAGGAAAAGAACAAAAGCAACAGTCAACGAACAGGCCGTAGCTGTCCAGAATCCTGCTGCAAAACCAGCAGCCTCCACTTTCAGGCGCCGTCCGCAGGGAGCCTACGTGCTGCTAGCGCCTTCGCCCACCTACCACCGACTTCTCGAACCCCCCTGCAAGGCCCGGTGTGGGGACCTCTGCGTTTAGTAGAAGAGCGCAGAACCGCATCGAATCCCCGCACCTGCATTTATTTATTGTTCCAACCCATAGCTTGCCAGCTCGGAATTCTTTTCTTTCCACATCAAACTCTCTTCTCTCTCACCACGAATACATCTTTTCCTTTTCTCGTTGGCTTTCTATTACAGTGCAGCTTCTCTTGCAGCTTTCTGCACTAGAAAGGAATAAACAAACCATCTTCACGCAACAACTTCATCACTTTTCTTCAGTCCCCCCCCCACCTTCGCCATCATGTCGATGGGTCCCGCCGTCGGTATCGACCTTGGTACCACGTACTCTTGCGTGGGCATCTTCCGCGAGGACAGATGCGACATCATTGCCAATGACCAGGGTAACCGAACCACCCCTTCTTTCGTGGCCTTCACAGACACCGAGCGTCTTATCGGTGATGCCGCCAAGAACCAAGTCGCCATGAACCCCCACAACACAGTCTTCGACGCCAAGCGTCTGATCGGCCGCAAGTTTTCAGATGCTGAGGTCCAGGCCGACATGAAGCACTTCCCCTTCAAGATCATCGAGAAGGGTGGCAAGCCCGTCGTCGAGGTCGAGTTCAAGGGAGAGACCAAGCAGTTCACTCCCGAGGAGATCTCCTCGATGATCCTCACCAAGATGCGTGAGACCGCCGAGGCCTACCTCGGTGGCACCGTCAACAACGCTGTCGTTACCGTCCCCGCCTACTTCAACGACTCTCAGCGTCAGGCTACCAAGGACGCCGGTCTCATTGCCGGTCTCAACGTCCTCCGTATCATCAACGAGCCTACTGCCGCTGCCATTGCCTACGGTCTCGACAAGAAGATTGAGGGCGAGCGCAATGTTCTCATCTTCGATCTCGGTGGTGGTACCTTCGATGTCTCTCTCCTCACCATCGAGGAAGGTATCTTCGAGGTCAAGTCCACTGCTGGTGACACACATCTTGGAGGAGAAGACTTTGACAACCGTCTGGTCAACCACTTCGTTAATGAATTCAAGCGCAAGAACAAGAAGGATTTGGCTACCAACTCTCGTGCTCTGCGCCGTCTTCGCACTGCTTGCGAGCGTGCCAAGCGTACCCTCTCTTCTTCCGCCCAGACCTCCATTGAGATCGACTCTCTTTTCGAGGGTATTGACTTCTACACCTCCATCACTCGTGCTCGTTTCGAAGAGCTCTGCCAGGACCTCTTCCGCTCCACCATCCAGCCCGTCGACCGTGTCCTCGCTGACGCCAAGATCGACAAGAGCCAGGTCCACGAGATCGTTCTCGTCGGTGGTTCCACCCGTATCCCCCGTATCCAGAAGCTCATCACCGACTACTTCAACGGAAAGGAGCCCAACAAGTCCATCAACCCCGATGAGGCTGTTGCCTATGGTGCTGCCGTCCAGGCTGCTATCCTGTCTGGTGACACTACTTCCAAGTCCACCAACGAGATCCTCCTGCTCGATGTCGCACCCCTCTCTCTCGGTATTGAGACCGCTGGTGGTATGATGACCAAGCTCATTCCCCGCAACACCACCATTCCCACCAAGAAGTCCGAGGTCTTCTCCACCTTCTCCGACAACCAGCCTGGTGTTCTTATCCAGGTCTACGAGGGTGAGCGTCAACGCACCAAGGACAACAACCTGATGGGCAAGTTCGAGCTCACTGGTATCCCTCCCGCTCCTCGCGGTGTTCCCCAGATCGAGGTTACCTTCGACCTTGATGCCAACGGTATCATGAATGTCTCTGCCGTCGAGAAGGGCACTGGCAAGTCCAACAAGATCGTCATCACCAACGACAAGGGACGTCTGTCCAAGGAGGAGATCGAGCGTATGCTTTCCGATGCCGAGAAGTACAAGGAGGAGGATGAGGCTGAGGGCCGCCGTGTCGGCGCCAAGAACGGCCTCGAGTCCTACGCTTACTCTCTCCGCAACACCCTCAGCGACCCCAAGGTTGACGAGAAGATTGAGGCCGCCGACAAGGAGACCCTCAAGACCGAGATCGACAAGGTTGTCGAGTGGCTCGACGAGAGCCAGCAGGCTACTCGTGAGGAGTACGAGGACAAGCAGAAGGAGCTTGAGGCTGTTGCCAACCCCATCATGATGAAGTTCTACGGCAGTGGTGGTGAGGGTGGTGTCCCCGGTGGTGCTCCTGGTGGCTTCCCCGGCGCTGGTGGTGCCCCTGGCGGCGGCCACGGCGGCGACGACGGCCCCACTGTCGAGGAGGTCGACTAAATTTCGAGATACCCCACGCCTCCTCAATCTTTACACCAAGATTGGTAATTCTTCCATGATTCGAAGGTTACGGGAATCATGGGTAACGATTAGACTTTGCCTTTTATTTTGCGATGCATTTCACGGTTAATGACTAGGGAAAAGCTCGGTGGTTATGTATTTTAATGAATTTCGCTGAATCAATTAACGTTCAGTTATAAGAATCTGATTGCCCCTTTGATCTCTGTGAATTGAATATGTATGTGTGATATGAGTCAACAACGCTCGCAAGCAGTGCGCAGACGGCGCAGAGCACGAGAGTTGGTAGCCAAATCTTTTCGAATTGGTGTTATTGTTTTCTTAATGAGTAGCAATACTCAACAATTATGAAAGACAATAAATTACTAACATAATATGACCGACAGAGTGCATTCAACATTGGGAGAGCAATCATAATGTCTTTAGTCGTGGCAAAATCTTCTACAGCTTGATGACCGCAAGGGTCGTAATATTACAAAGTATCTCAACATATTTGAGTTTGACAACATCCACCCATCCTATGTTGATGGATTGGCATATCCCAAGTCCTTCCTGATCTGATTCCGTCGCTCACTCTCCTGCTTCCGCCACTCGTCATCGTTGACATTGGTCTGAAACCCCTGCGAGAAGGCCACGCCGGGGGGCAGCCTCTCGGGCCTGGACTCCCACACGTCCTCGCTGCTGTGACGTCCGGGAGCGTAGTACTTGGCGTGCTCCTTGTTGCGGTAGTGCTGGCGGACGGCGTCGGCTTTCGCCTGCCCCGTGTGGGACTTGGTGCGCATGCAGAACCAGAAGTCGTCCCAGTGCTCGGAGCAGGAGCGCATCTCGCCGTGGCGGTAGACGGCGTTCCACTGGCCCCCGAGGGAGTTGCAGGACCAGGCGAGGTCGAAGGCCTGGCGGCAGGACATCTCGGTTGGGAGGAGGGCCTCAGAGACTGGGCCGTGGGGCGGGGCGTTGGGGACCTCCTCGGGGGCGCGGGAGGATTTGAGGGATAGCCATGATGTTAGGGAGGAGGAGCCTGAGTCGGAGGTGTCTGTTGAGGGTGGAGTCTTCTGGGAGTTGGTTGTGGAGGAGGAGGAGGCGGCGTCGGCCTTGAAGAGGTCGTAGAGTTTTTGGATTTCGGGGTCGGTGGATTGGCTGGGGGGTTGTTCTGCGGGCGCGGGTTTCGCCTCGGCTGGTTTGGGTTCTGTGGAGGGAGTTGGAGGTTTATCGGAGGGCTGCGATGCCCAGAGCCAGCCCATGGTGAAGGGTTGTGGCCGTTGTGCTGGGTATATCTCTCTTCAATGGCCTGGCAACGCAAGATGTAGGTGGGTGGTATTGAAGTCTAAGGATCGTAGCAAAGGACCTTGTAGATGTTGTCGCAAGAAACGCGGGGAAGGGCTGGATGTATGAATGTATCGAGGCTCGCACGAGTGTTTAGGCTGAATATGCCGGAATGGCCAATCGGGGTAACAAGAACAATGGTTTTGGAGAGATAAAGTGTCGACGTTGATTATCAGCGCGATCATTGGCTTCCTTTTTTTTGCAGATCGCCAATGTCGCCCAGAAGGACAAATTGGGTAAATGCCGGAATAATTAATGCCCTTGGCCGTACAATACGCTACATAATGGACTACGCATCTGCTACTCTGCGAGGCTTTTGAATGCTTGATGATGAACTATAATGAAGACAAGCCAATGATAATCACAACTATTTTGTTATTGTTTAATTATTTCTTTGGTTATTGTGATGTCGAAGCCCTGGAAGAGTCGATCTCGATGTATAGGGCTGGGTGGGGAGGGTGCCTGAAAGCCCAAAGCTGTGGGATCCCATAGACCAATACCAGGGTATGCATAGAGCTTCTCGATATTCCACATTCGACGAAAGGATCAGAAGTCCAGTTCGGGAATCCGGCATGGCAGCTTTTATAATTTATATCAAGTAGACAGAAGATGCTCTGGCCAAAGCTTCGATTATCGTTGAAGGTGGGGCGCAAGATTGTTCGCATTTGAGAGTGGTTCGAACGCCCAAAAACCGATGACCTCATTGGTCCATAAATCAATAAGTCGTAAGGTAGCAGCAAGCAGGTTAGTTAAGGCAGGAGAAACCCGTGCCGATGCCTTACTACTTGACCTACTAAAATTACCTGGCATTTCTCGCTTCTCCTCTCTCAGCTCTCTGTAAATAGCCCCGGCTGCTCATGGTGAGAGAGTCGCCATGTTTCGCCTGCGAGGGGTTGTAACCCCAATAGTGAGGCCGTCTCTTTCAACGAGACCTCGGCTTACCAGCCCGGGCCTTTTCGCCTTCGGCCGACGCACTGTAGCTCCCGTACGACTGACCAGCAGAGTATGGGAAAGCACCGCCAGTTCTCCAAAGTCTGGAGAAAAGGAGGATGGTCATATCGCAGTCAATTCCAACGAGTCGATTCTCTTCTTTGACAGTATGTCGACAACCAAAATTTTGCGCTTATGAAGAGTGACCAGCCGAAGGGCACAAGTGCTGACTTGATGCAGATATCTTCCCTCTGAAACTAAGCACCATTCTAAACAGGCCATGGAAAACCAATCATGATGTGGCCGACTTGCTGCAACGCTTTGAGAGCTCAAGCTTGGGGACTCTGGATCCCATTAGGCTTGTCAAGACTGCTATCCCGCAAGACATGGGCATGAAGGTCACTGAGATTAACCCGCGACTGAAGGATGGTGGTGCCTTCGTGAAATTTGAGCATGAGGCTTCTTTGGACCCGGCAGAGATTGAGCGTGAGTGAAACCTGGTGAATCACTTAACCATTTTGTGGCAGTACACTGATTTGTTATATTAAAGAGACTCTTACGGATAAACTCAAAGCAAATCCTCTGAGACCTTGGTTCAGCCCGTTCCGCGGGATTCAGGCGCGTCTTGTGCGGGGAACGCCTTGGCTAGAGGACCTCTATAGGTATCCCTCAAGCTACGTCAGGGTCGAATTTGTCACCAATGAGCCAGGCACAACTCCGCAAGAGCTGTCAGAAGAGACACTGTATCAACTTTTCAGAAAATACGGCAAGATTGCTGATATCATTCCACAGCCACAAGATAGCAAAGTGACGCCAAGATATGCTCATCTAAGCTTCCCCTTGCTGAGAGATGCTATTATGGCTCGTAATTGTATGCATGGATACATCGTGGGAGAGACCCTTGGGGGTGGGTTGAATGGAACCCGACTGCGGATGTCCTATGATAAGCGTCCCAAAACAAACAGTATTTGGGACTGGCTCACGAATCACCCACGCATCGTTATCCCTGTCCTGGCTGCTCTCCTAGCCGGCATTTCGGTCATCATTTTTGATCCGATCCGCCAATTCTTCGTCAAGCTACACATCCAGCATTCATTTCAGCTATCAGACTACAAGATATACAAGTGGTTCAAATCCCAAACCGACAATTTCAATATTGGAAGGCAAAACACACAGCGCGATGATCTGAAAACTGTTTGGAAACATCGCAGCGACCTCATTTCTCAACTGCAAGGTTGGCTTGATGGCTCTTCGGATACTTTCATTGTCGTCATGGGTCCAAAGGGTTCCGGGAAGAAAGAAATGGTTATGGACCAGGGCCTGAAAGGCAGGAAGAATATCCTTACCATTGATTGCCGTCCTATCATTGAGGCTAGGGGAGAGGCTGGCACCATTCGTAAACTCGCGAATGCAGTCGGGTACCGACCCGTTTTCTCCTGGGCGAACAGTATCAGCAGTCTTGTGGACCTGGCTGTTCAAAGCACGACTGGTGTCAAGGCCGGGTTTTCCGAGACTCTTGAGTCTCAACTCACCAAGATCCTTTATACTACAAGTGCAGCGCTGAAGGATGTTGCTCTATCGAGACGAACAAAGAAGGATAAGGACGCAGATCTATCCGATGATGCCTACTTAGATTCTCACCCGGAAAAGAGACCAATCCTTGTCATTGACAACTTTTTGCACAAGGCAGACGATCAGGCTGTGGTCTACGAGAAGATTGCGGAGTGGGCGGCGTCTATTGTTCAAAACAAGATAGCCCACGTCGTATTTCTCACAAATGATTCCTCCTTTACCAAACCGCTCTCCAAAGCGCTACCGGATCGAGTTTTGCGGGAACTTTCTCTGGGCGATCTCGATCCCAAGGTTGCTAGAAATTTCGTCCTCGGCCGCTTGAATGACCACGAGGAAGAAGTGGCCGAAAATGAGAGTGACGAAAAGGATGGCCAGCCTCTCAAGCAACGCAAGATCGATTATAGGGGCTTGAACACCAGTATTGAGACCATGGGAGGTCGGCTGACAGATCTTGAGTTCTTGACTCGTCGTATCAAGGCTGGACAATCCCCCCAGGAAGCACTTGAAGAAATCGTTGACGAGAATGCCACTGACATTGTCAAGATCTTCTTACGTGGAAAGAATGGCGACGATGAGAAGAAATGGTCAGTCCAGCAGGCCTGGCATCTTATCAAGTCTCTTTCCCAGGGACCTAGTCTCCGCTACAACGAAGTCGTTCTTTCCGCTCCGTTCTCTTCATCTCTTTCACCAGGGGCCAAAGATGCCGAGGCTGCCCTCGAAGGCTTGGCCAACGCAGAACTCATCTCAATCGGGTATCACCTGGGACGGCCACAGACCATCAAAGCCAGCAAGCCTCTGAACCAAGCTGCGTTCCAGCTTATTCTCAATGACACTGTACTCAGGGCCAAAATGGAGCTTGCTAATCTTACCGAGATGTCAAAGGTTGAGGCAAAGACCATCGAAACTGCGGAGACTGAACTCTCACTCCTGGGACACCTTCCCAAGCAAACCCGCGAAACATCTTTGCGGGTCTCATACCTCCTGAAGAAACTGGAATCCAGCCAGCAAAAGATCACAGACTTGGAGAGGGAAATGGGCGAGTTGAAGCAAGTCCTGAGGCAGGAGCATTAGGATGGACGCTCGGACGAGCCGAAGACTCATCGCCCTCGCGAACGGGAATTGGGGTGGATGGATAGTTTGCAACTCTGCTTAATGAATGTACATATATTATCATCCTCCTCATAAAAAAATGATTTTGTAGACCTATGGAGACAGAAATCGCTTGTTCCACCTTCAAATAACGTCATCAGATTGTTCGAGTTTGTTAGACAAAGAGAATATGAAGCTAGTAACAGATGGTCGCCGTTGGAGGACGACGGGTTTGATCGTGAAAACATATATGCGCCGTTCGACACGTGGTATCAACAAAGTCAAAACAGGTAAATCAACTTATTCCCCCCCCCAGTAGTCCTATTCGCCCCCGGTCATGGCCAATGATAGTAGAGATGAAGATGCCGCCCAAAGTCTCCGTGTGTTGAGCCGCTCGGCTTGTTATTTTCGTCAGTTTGATTTTGCGTTTTGTTCAACCCATTTGGGTGTCATCCGGTGATTCCCCAGATGCTCGAGCAGGCACCTCGCAGGCTTGGGAGAAGAAGATGCGGGCGTTTGTTTTTGACTCGTTTGTTATGCTGTAGTAGTTGCCTGTGCACATGAGTATATTAGACAAAAGTCGTTTTTGGTACTGATGCAATTCAAAATCTTACCTCTGTGGACGAACCACTGACCACCAGCGGATATGCGGAATTCGGATTCGTTGACAGTGACAGTGACCTTGCCGTAGTGGACGAAGAAGACCATGTGCATTTTCCTCGAGTTCTTCGGCCTCTTCTCAGTTCCCGGGGGTAGATCGACGATGCCAGCGCCCATAAAGGGCATTGTGAGAGTCTTGGCGAAGCGGAAAGTGGCATCTTTGATGTCCTTCGTCTGGACCGCCTCGGCCGACACTGCAATGAGGTCTTCATGGACGGGGACCTGGTCGTCGTCGGCGGGCGGGTGAGTCTCGTACTCGGGCTCCCACCCCATGACCTCGCCAAAGACCTGGCCCGGGTCTGATTCCCACTTGTCGGGCTCCTCCTCCTCGTCGACCGCTTTGAGCTGCCTGGATTTCCCCTTCAGGCGTCCTCTTCCGCGAGGCCCGCGTCTCGTGCCAGAGGGCTCGTCCTCGGCATTCCGCACGATCCCCTTCATCGACATGGACACGAACCCACGATCGTTCGTAAACATGTCGTCGCGCTCCTCCACCTCCTGGATGACCTGGTCGCCAGCCCAGTAGTTCAGCGGTCGGTACGAGTGTCTGCCTGATCTGGTCTGTACTATAGCGTCGGGATCACGCTTGACGGAGACCAAGCCGCGGCGCTTGGGCAGAGGAGGACCCTTTTGCAGCGCCATAAACGACTGTTCTCCCGCACCTTCATCTGGAACACTGACTTTCGGTTTGCGACCTGGCCTGCCTCTCGGCTTCGCTGCTGGTGCTGCTGGTGCTGGTGCTTTTGGCGCTGCCTCGGCAGGAGGTGCTGCCCTAGCAGTTCCATTGACTCGCTGCTTTTTGGTTTGCCGAGGCGCTTCCTCCTCCTCTTCCTCATCTGGTTCTACAGCTTCCTGACTACTGTTGGAATTTCGGGCCGGTCTCCCCCGAGGCTTTTGTGAGGGTTGTGGTGGTACGGCTCCTGCCGGTTTGCTAGCCGCTTTTGCAGGTCTCCCTCTGCTCTTCTTCACAGATTGCTGTGGTGCCGCGTTGGGCGTGTTGGACCTTCGGTCTTCAGATGCTGGTTCGGCTTCCGGGAGTGAAGTCCTGGGCCTCCCACGCTTTCTCTTCCCTGCCACTGGTTGGGGTGATGGAACCTCCTCCTCCTCCTCCTCTTCGTCGTCATTCTGCGGACCAGCTGACTCGTCGTAAGTGGGAGCAACTTCTACCTCATCATCGTCTTCCTCTTCCTCTTCCTCTTCCCGTGATGCCCCCAGACGGCCCCCTAGGTTGCCATTGAGTCTCCCACGTCCCTTAGCGATGGATTGGAAATCAATGTTGCGCGTCACTGTCGCATCCCTACTACCACCGTTCGGTGAAGACTCTTGGCCGGGATATGTGGGCGCACGCCCCGCAGGAACGCTTCTCTTGGTTGGCGATCGGGTTTCGGATGGCGACGGTTGATACCTGCGCTGCGCTCTGAGTATCGTTTGAGGCCCGGGTCCAGCACCTACGGGCTCGTGTTAGCTATCTGGGTCATCGTAGACTGCTTAATCCGGAGGTGGGCATTCGCGCACTGTTGGTGATTTCCATATCCTCGCTCCCCGTGTCATCGCCACCATCTTCCTCGTCCTCGTCGTCCTCGTCGTCCTCGTCATTAGCGTCATCGCCATTAGGCGATTCGGACGGCTCCCGCCGCGGTGATGAGAAGATGTCCTCGAGCGGTTGGAAGCCGTCCTTGTCGACCTTGTCTGTGGGGGGGAGGAATACGCCGGTTTTTCTATTTTATAGGAATTAGCACTCTCTCCTTCTTCCTTGTCGCGTTTGCTCCTCCCGGCGCATGGGCGCCTGGCGGCTTCTTGTGTACATACCGCCCTTGCACTCCAAGCTGGTGGAAAGCTTGGGGTTCTGAGGACTCACCGCGCCGCCCACGGGGAGCCATGGCGATCGAGCTTGGGTTGTGCTGGGGGTATGAAGGAGGTTAATATTTCAGCATGCGCGGGCGACTATCGATATCGAGACAGAATTGCAGCGCCAGAGGTCGCGCAAGGTTTGGGAAGTTGTGAGGGCATGCGCATGAAGAGGGACGCTGATCAACAAAACAAATGCGGCATGTGTGTGGTGTTGCGACTAGGGACCTGTAAACTGGGGGAGGTACGGCGAGGTTACAGCGGGCGGAAAGCCCGATTCCACAGACGCGACGTGCTGTGAGACACTAAGCAAGTTGCATCAGCAGAGTCAACACACCACCACCGGCCACTAGAACACTGGTGCAGGGGCTTACATAGGTCCACTGTAGGAGCCCCTCCGCTGTAAGACACGGCAGCTCAGGAACGGTGCTGAGCTATCAGGGATCGTCGCCGTTCCAAAGTCAATTAGTTTTCTACTTGATATTGGATGGCTATAGCCATTGGGTAATTGTTTATTAACAGAATTATTCGTAGGATGTTATTGACAACGTTATATTCTCGGAAAGCATATCTTCAGCGTTGCACCCTGTTGGGCTCGAGTGTCTCCACCCACTGACTGGCCAGACAACCAACCCACAATCAATTAACCAAGCTTTGTCCAACACGCTTTTTTCTTCTCCAACGCGTCAAGCTCCGACCACACGCGTTGTGGGGTGCCGATCAAGCAGCGATGACCACCCAGACATACTTATAATCTTGCATCCCAACTCTACATCTCCAAACTCACTCCCAGCGTACAATTCGAAGAACTCCCTCTACGGATCATCATTGGATTTTATATTACCTAAAATTACAGCGAACGAACGCATTGACCCGCCACAATGGACGAGCCTCAAACAGAATCTCAGGCCGCCGCCGTCGACGAGACGCAGCTCTCCAACTCCGACACCTTCATCCCCCCATCCGTCACCAGAGACGCCCTCCTCTCCGGCGCATCCTCCCGCCACTTCTCCCCCGTCCCGGACTCCCTCAAGCCCTCGACCCCGGGCGACCCCTCCACCGCGCCGCCCTGCTGCCTCGGCGTCGACGAGGCCGGCCGCGGGCCCGTCTTCGGCCCCATGGTCTACGGCGTCTTCTACCTCCCTATCCCGATGTCCGAGCCCCTCCTCCGCACCACCCACCACTTCGACGACTCCAAGGTCCTCACCGCGGCCGTCCGCTCCTCCCTCATGCGCGCCCTCTGCACCCCCTCCACCGACCTCCACGCCTCCTGCGGCTGGGCCACCGACTCCCTCTCCGCCCGCGACATCGCCGCCAACATGCTCAAGCCGGGCGGGGCGTACAACCTCAACGCCCAGGCCATGGACGCCACCATCGACCTCATCCGCTCCGTCTACGCCCTGGGCGTCAACGTCACCGAGATCTACGTCGACACCATCGGCCAGCCCGCCGCCTACCAGGCCAGGCTGCAGCGCCTGTTCCCCACCGCCCGCGTCACCGTCGCCAAGAAGGCCGACAGCCTGTACCCCTGCGTCAGCGCCGCCTCCGTCTGCGCCAAGGTCACCCGCGACGCCGCCCTCGAGGTCCTGTGGGACGCCAGGGGCGAGGAGGTTTCCGCCGGCGGTGAGGGCAGGATGGGCTGGGGGTCCGGGTACCCTAGGGACGCGGGCGCGTGGATGAGGCCCAACATGCACCCCGTCTTCGGCTGGGGGCACGAGTGTCGCTTTAGCTGGGGCACGGCCAAGGATTTGCTTGAGGGTAAAGAGGGCGTCAAGGTTGACTGGCCGGCCGAGGACGACGGCGAGAACAAGCTCACTGACTTCTTCGTTTCTGGGAACAATGACGGCGAGGCAGATGAGCTCGGGGGTTGGTTTGGGAGCTCGACGGGCCTGGAGGCGTTTTAATCGGTAGTCTATATTAATTCAGGGATGGCGTTTTTGGAGCAAACGACACATAAATCATTACGGGGAAGGGCCAAGGTTGGCGTTGAAGGAAGGGAGTATTTGGAAATTTGAACTTTTGTCTTTATGGTCAAGGTCAATTATGTATTTGCAGCTCACTGCTTGGACCATGGATGTGCTCAACAATGTCAAACAGCTATAATTATTACATCAAAAGTCATCATCCTCGGTGGATGTGTTCGTCTTCTTGCCCCTGCTGTCCAAAGTGTCCAGACCAATGTCGGCGCTGGTGCTGTTGCGGTTGGCGGGGACGCCCACGGCCTGTCTGGAGCCTTCGGAGTTGATGATGTATTCACGCAGTCTCGCCTTGCCAATGTCAAGGCCCTGGGTGATGGCGGCATTGCCCATGTGCATCATAGGACCAATGAGATTGAGAGTGTAGGCCACATATGTGCCACCTGCAATGAGGAGGAGCAGCAGGATCAGGACTGGGTTTCGAAGAACTGTAGAGTCGGTTAGTAAAAATGCTCAGTTGAACTGATGTGCCAAACGCTGGATGCTTACCAGTCAAGATCTCGTTCCAGCCAAGGGCAAGGAGGAGCATATAGAAGTACCAAGGGATCTGAGCGACTCCACCAATTGCGCTTCGCTTGGCTTCCACGAAAACACCATCTGCGGTCTTCTTGAACCGCACAACCAAATCCTGTCTCTTGCTCTCGCTGAGCACAGTGGTCTCTTCCTCGAGGCTCTTACCCTCCTCTTCGTCAACACCTCCGATGGGCGCTAGGTCCTCTTCATCCCCAGCTTCAACTCCAGAAGGCTGCGGGCCAATAAAGGAGATGAGGTCAGGGGGCGCGTAGGTAGATGCGAGCCTGAACCTCGACAGCAGAGGAATGAGCTTGAGAGTTGATTCCCTGGCCTTGGTGTAAATACCCTCGATATCGTCGGTAGGACGCCATATCCTTGGCACACCAGCCTCGTCGTAGCGGAACTTGTCCTCGAAGTTTTCGCGGAGCTTCAAGAGGATGTTTCCTTCCATGACCTCTTCGTCAATCTTCTCCCGTAGAGCTACCCAACTCTTGCGACGTAGGCGCCAAGTGCCAACCTCGACCTCCTCATCACTGGCATCGAAGCTCTTTGCCCGGTCAACAAATCGTGCCTCGGCCTCCTTGACAATACCGGCAAAGACGTTCCAGATTCTGTCCCAGAGATCCTTCTCTGTTGCGGACTTCCCTTCGGCTTCAGAGGCGTCGGAGCCGGCCCTACCGGATCCAAGCTTGTTGAACTCCACGCCGATTGCTTCGCCAAGCCGGGATTTGACCCATCTCTCCACGCGCACGGCCAGGCGGCGCATCTCTTCCTTGCGAAGTTTGCCACTAACCTCATCGAGTTCCGACTCAAACAGCAAATATTGGGACTTGAAGTTAGTCCAGGGCACACCTTCGATCGCCAGACCTTGCGCCTCAGCCTTGAAGATTTCAAGCGTCTTCTTCTTCTCGTTAGACACGATCTCGGCAAATTCATAGGCGCCGCCTGCTTTCTGCCCTGCCTTGACCTTGTTGGAAACGGCCTCGCTGAAAGCAGCAACACCAGCTTTGTGTGCGGCAGTGAGCTGGCCCTGGTACAGCGCCTTGAGGCGGGTATCGATCTTGCCCTCCAGCTCTTGTCTTTTGCGGGTGTAGACGCCCTTGTGGTACCGGCTAGCTTGAAGCTCAAAGGCTTTGATGGCCGCTTCTCTGGCCTTGCTACCGGAAGGGCCTAGGTCTTCGAGGACCGTAGGCTTGCCCAGTCTCACTGCCTCGGCCTGCTTCTCTTCGAGCGGTGAGATGACGTTATCGAAGTTGATGAGAACCTCTCGAGAGATCTCGTCACATCGGAACTGGGCGAGAAGCTCTTGCTGGGTGGGAAGATCGAGATCCTTGTTGTTCACAATTTGGTCCCAAATTCCTTCTGCGTAGACGGAGAAACCATCGGCAGGGATTCTCCTGTGGTACTCGGGCAGGAAGAGCCCGCCCTCAAGCTCGTTCTCGCTGCGACTGCCTTTATTGCGGTGGCCAGCAGTGAATCTCGAGCCAAGAACGTTAACCTCGCTGACGAACTTCTCGCCCTGCAGAATCTTGTGCGGTAGTGCGGCGAAGCCGAAATCAAAGTAGTCCTCAATACGAGAGTTCTCGAGCCCCTGGGGTTTGGAAATGGACGACCAGAGCTTGGTCAAATCCTGGATCAAAGTCTCTCGAAGGTTAGCAAGAGGAGTGGTGCCGAGGTGATCACGGATGACGAAGAAGAGAAGCGACCGGGGGGTGGACCTGATGTAAGTGTTAGTAAATGATTGGCCGTCACCGCCCAAGACGACATGCACTCACTGTTTGTCCTTGAGGAACAGCTGAAGGTTGACCTCGAAGACAGTCTTGAGCAGGCCCATGTTTGCGCCCTGATACAAGCCTACTTGGTGCTCCCAAATGTTGAGCAGGAGAACCTCGCTTGTGGCCAGCGCAAAAAGCGCGCTCTTCCTCTCGAAGTCCTGGTCCTCGCCGCGCTCTCGGCCGTCGGTTCCCTCGACGTCCATGACCAGGATGTTCTCCGCCATCTTGGTGCCGGCACTTTCGGTTCGCTTATTCTTGGACAGCCAGATACCCTTGGTGGTCTGCTGGCGTTGGGTCTCGGACATGACGGAGAAGTCGGTTCCAAAGAGATTGTTCAAAAGGGTGGACTTTCCGGTGGACTGCGACCCGAAGACGGAGATGAGGTGGTAGTTGAAGCCAGCTTCGGCCACATGCTCGAGTTGGAGGTACTCATTGAGGTTGGTGCTGCGGATTGAGGTTCGGGTCAGTCAAGGAAGGGCGGAGGGTCGGTGCGCGGTTGACATACTTGAATTCCTTGTCCTCGTCAATGACCTGTACGCCATGGCCGAAGCTGCCAGCAGTCGGCTGGTCGCCGACTCTTGCCATGTGGCCATTCATTTGCGCAAGTTGGGGGGGAGCTCAGCTTCCAGCTCCAGCATTAAAATTGATTAGAGGTGGCGGGAGGTGGGAGAGCGGGACAGATATAAGGAGAGAGAGGACAGAACGCAAGCTGACCGAAGGAGACGATAAACTTGGCTCGAAGCTCTAATTCTGTGCTCGGGTGGCAGCGGTGTAGGTAGGTAGCGAAGGGACAATGTCCAGGGCCGACCTCCCTTGTTCAGGCCAGGTTAATATACGGATGGGATGGTATAAGAGAACAAACCGCCAAACATGACATGTAATATGTGTTCATGTGGGCTGGCCAGCTGCTGGGGCTGGGCCTTAGCATTATGTGTGGCGGGCAAAGGAGCAAGCGAGCAAGGGTCAGGCGTGGCGGGGAGCCAATCCGAGACCCAACCTTTTTCCGCCTCCGAGGCCACTCCATACAATACAGACAGCTCAAGCTGCGAATCGGGCGGGAAAGCCTCCAGACTTGCTGCACCAGTAATGACGTAGAGGTGCTAGCATCCTTTCGGCGCCGTCTGTTGTCAGGAGCTGTGCGCGATCTTGTCAAGTGAGCTGATCCGGGGGGTCTGCGCTATTCTGGTGCGCTGGCACGACATAACGTGACCTCCGTCCTACTGACCAGCGCTGCCTCTTTTCTTTAATAACTTCCATCAGCCTGGACGCCGTCACACACTCGCCAGTCAGTGATGATAAATCGTCACTAGTTATCACCCATAGTCCTCCTGCCTGCTGTGCCTGTGTACACTCGAGGCAACTGCCCCCCACTGGCTGGCTGATCCAGCACCACATAATCATTACCACTACTGCCAACTGGCCTACTTATGTACTGTCTAGTAATATATCATATATGCAGGTACATTGAGTGCCACATCGAATGAAAACCACCACCAGCCACAGCGCGAATTTGGATTCCCATATTGAGACGTGACGTCTCGCCGTTATATCTGCTGCCCTGGGGCCTTATCATCGCTCTTTTTTGCCCCTCTTCCTCGCATCCCGCCCATTCTATACTTGCGTGTTTACCAATCGCCAACATGTTGATCACAGAGTCTTTCGTCGATGTGCAGACCGTTGCCAATGGCAAGGAGAGCACTATGCGTATGCTCACCCCGCCTCAACCCCTCCAACCAAAATAGCCCCAAGCTCATCACATGCAAATGCGAAACAGGCATCTATGTCTTCCACCCGACCATTCCAGGCTACCCAAATGCGTATGCAGATTCGTCTTCACCTCCTTCAAAGCTCTCTGTCCACTATTGAACTGACCAGCAATCCCTAGTCGTTTCCCTGGCGTAGCTCTCTTCAGTGAGATCTATCAAGGTATGATGGACATACTGAGCCATGGCTAAACACCAACTTGTCTATCAAACCCCAACTTACTCTTGTCGTTGATCAAAGTCACCGGCCCCGTTGCCAGATTCGCCCGTCAAATTGCCGGCCATGGCTACATCGTAGCTGCCCCATCCTCCTACCATGATTTCGTGGGCCCGGAGCCTCTGAAGTACGATGCCGCCGACACAGACCGCGGAAACGACTTCAAGGTCCAAAAGGTTCGGCATCACAAACCCCTTTCACTCTCACGCTCATATTCCCCAGCTAACACAAACCCCTCCAGACCCTCGAGTCCTATGACGCCGACTCATACAAGACCGTCGACCACCTCCTGAGCCTCCCAACCTGCACGGGACTCATCGGCTCCACGGGCATGTGTCTCGGCGGCCACCTCGCCTTCCGCGCAGCAGTACGACTCCTCTCCCCTTCTCCCTAAACCCTCATGATCCCCCCTAACTCCCATCAGCTTGACCCCCGCATCACCGCCAGCGTAGCCTACTTCGCAACAGACATCCACTCCCGCACCCTCGGCCCCCACGACGCCCGCAACACCTCCCCCGAGGCCCCTTCCCCCTCCAGCAACCACACCCTCGACCTCATCCCCCGCCTCGCCGCCCACAACGCCGAGGTCGTCATGATCTTCGGCGTCAAGGACACCCACGTCGACGGCCCCGGCCGCGACCTCATCCGCTCCAAGCTCCGCGAGGCCGGGGTAACCGCCAGCTTCCACGAGTTCGCCTGGGCCCAGCACGCCTTCATCCGCGACGAGCTCAGCAAGGGCCGCTACGACCCGGCCGTCACCAAGGTCTGCTTCGAGATCCTGCTCGAGCTCTTCGGTCGCGTCCTTAAGACCGACCTCGGAGCCAGGGACGGCCGCGTTGCTCCTCCCGAGCACGTTTGCTAGGTATACATACAAGTCAAAGTATGAAAAATGAATATTGAAATCAATGATATTCCGTGACAGTTCACATCACTTACAACATCGGTGAAAGATCCGTGACGTAGCTCATGTAGTGGTCTATGATGTAGAAGAAAAATATTTTATTGTTCATATTCAGTCTGTGTAGATAGGCCGTTCTTCTCTTCAGGCATAAGCGGAGCCATCTCGACTCCTGTGTTCAATACTTAAAAAAAAAGAAAATGTTACGTGCCACGATATGTCTGTCGACTTAACCTAAGGGGCATTTCACCATAGAATAAAATATAAAAAAACAATAGTGGTCAAAAACAATTCAAACAGTCTATCCTAGACACCGTTGTATACCAAAATGCAGCCCGGGCAAAAAGCAGAAATCTATTTCCTGCAGCCCGTCGGAAAAAAAATCGATATTTTGTTTATAATCATTCCTCGTCATTGTTTCGCCCAAGGCTCACCATTAGCGCTGGCCTGCGGGAGGTGGTGGCCCTTGGTACCCCGGGGGGTATCGCTGCTGTTGAGACTGCTGCGACTGGCTGGGGTGGATGGACCCTTGTGTCTGAGTAGCTGATAGGCCCGCTCCGTGGGTAGACTGGTATGAGGTGGTGGGATACAACCCCATCTGGGCCTCCTCATCGAAGGTGTCTAGGCGGCTATGTGTTGGCGAAACCGGGGGCGCTGCTCCTCGGAGGCTCGCGGAGTGAGCTGGCAGGGTATCACCGGCCTTACGACGACCGCCACCGGTGCTTGAGCGCTTCACTAGATCATTTCGAGGAATATCCAAGGACATCGAGCGACCATTGTCGCCATCAGGGTGCAGAGTGTGATTGTCCCAGTTGGTACCTGTGCCCGCCATTTCAACCACTGGAGGACGGGCGCTAATGTTCTCAATAGCTTCCTCCTCCTTCTTGTCCAGAGGAACAAAGCGAGCTTCTTCCTTCTTCTTTGCACTCTCGTCGCGGGCCCTTGTAGCGAAGTCATCGGAAACGGCAACAGAGTATGTAGGATTGCTAGGGCCGCCAAGAGCATCAGCACCACCGGCAGGGCCATAGATTGGGATCTTCTTCAAAGCAGTTGCCAAGGCACAAATGAACTTGGATCGACGAGTAGCCCTAACCATCTCGTTGTTCCAGTTAGACTTATGCAGGATGGAAAACTTGAGGGTGAGCTTGTCGAGATCATTAACGCCACCAATACCAATGGTGAAGTTGGGCTGGAAGTCGCGCGAGTTTTCGGGTGAGCGGACAAAGGATTCCATCTCCTGGCGCAAGAGCTCAACCTCTTCAAATGTAGTGTCGAAAGACACGTCAATCGCAATGCTCTCAGACATGGCCTTACTACGGGTGATGTTGTCAACCCACAGGTTGTTGAGTTGAATGTTGGGCACCTGCAAGTTCTGTTAGTCAACCCACGGGGAAAGAGGAGTGGTGCGGCATACCTGAGTGATCTGGCCGGTGGAGGTGCGAGTGAAGACAGTGTAGAGAAGGGAGATTCTCTCGACAATGAGCTGAACGTCGCTGATGTAGACGCGGTCACCGACATCGTAAGGGTGCTTGACAAACAGGAAGATGCAAGAACCAAGGAATTCCTGGCAAGTCACGGCGAAGATGAAAGACAGAGAGAGCAGGGTGGTACCAGCAGACGCAATGGTCGTGACGGCGCTGCTTTGGAAGAAAGACACTGTGCTCATACGTTAGTCCGAGATCGTCGGCGAGATGGTAGAACGGGCATGTGCTTACGGAAGATGAAAACAACAATCAACAACACCACAAACAGGAGAACTCGATCGAACGCGCTGAGGGCCTGTCCGATATCCTTCATGCCTTCAGCGATTGCGATTCGCTCTTTGCCAATATCCACAACTTTGCGGATCATTTCTTGCAGACTGATGTCTCCATTGCCATCGCCATCCAGGGCATTGAAGGCTTCCTCGGCTTCGGCTTTGAACTGGGGTCCAAGCACTTCGGCCACATCTTCAAGGTAGAGAGCATCCTTTCCCTCGACAACAAAAGACATCCAAATACGACGGGCCAACGCCTCTGACGACTTGAGCTTTTCGAGGGCTTCGAGAACGATGGAGTGGGTCGAGTTGGGGTTGAACACCTTCTTCCCAGTGATCTCGGAGGCGATGTTGCCAAAAGCAGAAGTAACCTTGTCACCAAAGCGACCGACCTCACCAATCAGCTTAGTGGGGTTGACAACACCAGACTTGCCGCGTGCGTGCCTGGCTCCCCCAAGCTTGGCCTCGATGGTGTCGTTGATGACATAGTCCTCTTCCACGAACTCGGGGCTGTACATGGGAAAGAGGGCCTTGGAGGCATCATAAAGCATACCGAGCAGGTGAACTTCTCTCTTGGACTCCTTGATACGGTTGGCAAATGAGCGCTGATGGTACGAGACGGCAATGACCTGGACAATTGCCTTCTCGCCCAGAAAAACTGCGGACGAGACGAAAAGAGACCCAAAGATTCGGTTCAGGACCTTGATCCAGCCCAGGTCGTTCCATTGCTTGAAAAGATTAATGTTCGTCAACCAGACGGCCAGGGCCCAGAAGAACAAAGAGAGGGGAAGCTGAAGGCTAGTCAAGACAGCGGCGTACTTGCGAGTTCCCGCACTGACCACACCAACGAAAGTCATGACAGTCTGCGGAAGGCAGTACGCAACCAACTTGGCTACCCAGACCGTGCACCAGGTGATTTCGATCCAAAGGAACAGTCTGAACAAGGGCGGGCCTTCCAGTGCCGGATCATCACTCTCGGGCAGCCTGTTGGTCTCCTTTTTACCAAGAGCAGCCAAGAGGACGATGGGGACGGCGAGGATAATGGCAACGGGGACAATGTAAACCAAGTATCGCGAGACAATGGAGAAGCTAAAGAGCTTGGTATAGAGTCGGCCCATGAAGTTGAGGCGGGCCGGCTCGTCGTCGCTGTCGCCAGTACCGCGACGGCCAAGCTTCTCGCTGCCAGTCTTTCTGCGCCCACGGCTTATGAAGTGAAGGCCGCTCTTCTCCTTCTCAAAGTCCGAGCCGTTGGTGGAGACGTTGCCCATCGTGGGCTTGCGAGCGCCGGTCGAGACATTGCTCTTGACGGTGGTGAGCTGGATGCCTTCGTCGTTCATATTGTTGGTTCCGCTGCCCTGTAGCTGAATGAAGCCGGAGTTGCGTTTCAGGGAGGGAGGCATCGCTAGTCTTTAAGCAGAGACTCTCTAGACGAGGTGCCAGGTTGGCCGTGGTGGAGAGGATGTGGGGGAGAGGGGTTAGAAGTGTGTCGTCGATTCGTTCGTTTGTGCTTGGTTTGCCGAGCGTCAAGCTGCAGAGCATCCAGTACGATCCGAAACAAGGCAGAAGATGTCGATCGACACTCTCGAGCGAATGGCCGAGTTGATTTACTCCGCTGGGCCTGTGTGTTCGAGTCTAGCTCCGAACAAACAAGCAACGAGTGTCAAAAAGAGGTGGTTCAAGGGAAGATCTTTGTTAATGAACAATGAGAAAGCTCCAAAAAAAGGAGTCGCACGGAAAGAACGAAGAGAGTGTGTACGTCTGCAAACTTTCTCTGCCCCAGTCAGAAGCAGTCACGGGCGTGTTCCTCGGAAAACAGTTAATAATGAGAGGAGGAAAGGAGTGCCTGGAGAAAAACGAATGTATGGGGTACCCAGATGGATATTATTAGGACGGAGACAAAGCCAGGCAACGTAATGATGGAGAGGAATGGGGCGTGTACAAGGAGCTGTGGTTTTTTTTTTTCTCCTACGTTCGCTTCTCCCTCCTGGCGTCGAGCACCAGCTAAGATCCCAGCCTGTGGGTTGGTGGCTTGCACGATCAAGAGCCGGTGTTGTATCCAAGCGGGCCCAGCGGGAGGCGTTCAGGGGTCTAGCGCTGTATTCTGTACTTGCTTCCCTGAGGGCTGAAGCATCAGAATGCACAGCGCCTTCCTACTGGGTGGTGGGGGAATGGGCCAGTGGGCATCAGGTGGAGCCCGCGGCCCTGATTGGCTACCTAAAGAGTTTTCTCAGCAATGAACGCTTCGCTTGTCAGCTGTTTCACAAGCAACCTCCTTGTATGAAACTCAGACCAGCACCAGGGGCACGCAAAAGCAACACCATTTCCATAGTTGTGATATTAGAGCTGACCGCCTGGCTATAGTCTGCGCATCAACCAGCCAGTCAGTGGAAAGGGGTGCCTTCTCTGGTCGCTCACGTTCATCTGAACCGAGATTACTTCTCGGTGGCTCGATCCTCACGGGGATGCTGGAGATCACGTATCATTAGATCGGCCCAGCCAGATCCCGAGTGATCATCATCAGATTGGAATATCAGTGGCTGCCGCGTCTCTCCCTCCCCTCACAGCAATGTACATAGGTCGCTGATCAACTATACCCAATTCCCATTTTTGTGCTTGCAGGCTGGAGGGGGCACGGCACAGTGCACTCCTGCCCTGAGACCCCTTGCAAGGCACAGTGAACTTTGCTGGCCGTACCTTTGGATTCGAACCATGTACACATCCGATTGCGCGATGCAGGCGGAGAAGCCCGTCCAAAAAGCTCGTGTAAACTCCACCCCGTCCCTGCTGGTGCTATTTCTGCGATCCCAGACCTCTGCGAGGCCGACGAGTGGGCTGACTGGAGCTGCCGACCTGCTCGCTGGGAGCTTCCATCATTCGCCAGACGCCAGCTGAGTTCCCCTTTTGCCCTTTTACCCCTTACTCTAGCGTCTGCGCCACCAATCCAGCCACCAACCAACCTCAGACAGCACGCCGAGCACCAACAAGTATGGTGCACTCTTTTCCCTTCCACTAGATGACGTTGCATCGGTACGTACTCCGTGCCTTGCAGCACCTGCGACACGGCTCTTCCCCCTGGTGTCCGCCCCCCGAGGTACACACTACCCTCACTAAAGGGGGACCAGCTCCCTGAGAGGGCAATTGATCAGAGAACGCATCGGAGCAGCAACTTCAACCACCACCAATGCACGAAGGTGGCTCCAATACGAGATCCACCACCAACCATCACTCATCCAAGAAATCCTCGTGTGCATTCCTGCTGCTCCTCGAAATGAAGCCTCCCCACCCTTGAGCTGGCCGCGCATTGGCACGTCAATGCGCCGACCACCCTCCCAAGACTCCGACTCCCCCGTTGCTTGTTTCAATCTCGCAGTCCAAGCTTTCCATCTGATCACATAAGACCTTACATCTAATATCGGACCCTGATAACGTTATGTTCTAGACAAGCACGCCTATCGACGCAGCGTATAATATCCCGTACCTAGATGTCTAGACCGACATGACCCTGCGGACCGGGCACCCATCCCCAACCCGACCCGTGAACGGCCATGTGAGCTAGCGCCCTCGCGTGCGTGTTCAGCTCGACAACCGTTTTGCCATTGCTCCCGGCCTAGCGCCTAGCGCGGGTAGACCTGTCACCTGGAAAAGGTTTGATGCTTGGATGCCTTCTTTGCTTCTCCATCCCTACCTACGCGTAGGTATCCATACGTCGGGACGACATGACCTCATACGGTCTTTGAAGTTTGTTCATCGGCCAGCGGGGCCAGCCAGTGGCAAAGGGCCTACGCAGTTTCGGCCATCCGTAGTTCCGTTCGTCATCACGATCGTGAGGAATTAGTCTCAGCCGTCCCACCGACGCGAGTGTTTTTTTAGTTCTTACTTTGGAAAGCTTTTGGAAAGGCAATCGGGTTCTACAGTCACCCCGAGAAGCTTGCCATGGCAAGCGACTGGCAATAAAACATGGCACACCAAAGCTCCTTACACGCAAGTCAGGGACCTCGCTCTCTTATCAATAGGCAATCCTAAACACAATGATAAAAATATAATAAATCATTCTACAATATCGAGCTCGACATTGTATTTATTGTTTTGATATTATGTTGAGATTCAACGCCGGAGTTTCTGGGTGGACATGTTTTATGTCAGTCGCTAGCCTGATTCTTGAAACGCCATCATTCTCCCAGCGGCGTGGCTACATCCAATGCCCTCCGTGACTGTTGCTTTCAACGCCTTCTGTATATTAATTACATGAAACAATGCGGAAAAAGGAATAACCAGATTATTGGGATCAATATTGCTCTTAGTTATTATAGTACCCTTGGTATGCGCCCGTCCTTCGCTAATAATAGATTCTAATTAAGCAAATCTATGCATAGATGCATCATGTAAAGCATCAATCACATACTGGGCATTTGTTATTTCACAACCCTGTAGGTATTACAATACTTGTTTTAAATTTATCTGTGTTTATCTGTGCTTTATAGTATATACTATTCTGTAGCAGGAAAGTATGTGTGATTGCTGGGGTATCTTTTAACAAAGCCGTCGGTCCATATCGTGAGTCCCATTCCGTGGTATCGTGAAGACATGAAGAAAATGTAAACCAAAACAAATTATTGAAAACAGTGATCCAGGTACCCAAAAAAAACGCCAAGAATATGTCCCGCTGTCAAGGATTAAAAACGAAGTGCAAAAGGTAAAGGGGTTCGGTTCAACCCGCCTATATGGAGTGAGAATGGTGTGTCGTAGCGGGATATCCAACCAAGTCTTTCATCTCGACTCTTGACTTCTCATTTTCATAGCTGTTGTCTGCTTCCTCGGCTTCAGGAATTGGTCCGTTATCAAGCTGATAAAGGGGCTCAAGAGTGGCCCTCTTGTCGAGGAAAATCCAGCGCTTGATCCACCATGGCAGGGCCTTGGTTATCTGGTAGTGCATAAAGACGCGCGTTGGCACTGCGAAAATATAGTCCAGTTCTTCCAAGGTTCGTTGCTTTGTTTCCGGGAGCCAGAGAAAGATCATACACAGGGCTATGACGTTGAAGCCAGCGTAGAAAAAGAATGATCCAAGGACGCCAAGTCTTAGCAACATGAGTGGGAAAGTAATGGATACAACCGCAGCGAAAAATAGGCATGCTGCGACAGCCGAGGCCATCCCGATTTCTCGATGCGAGAGAGGGAAAACTTCTGCAGCATACGTAAAGGGAACTGGGCCTTCTCCAGGTGAGTAAAAGGCGGCGTATAAATAGACGAAGAAGGCCACCATCCCCAAATGTGCACCCCCTTTTCCCGGGATGAGCGTGGACAGGCCAGCAGCCATCAGCGTCCACGCCATCTGGGGAAAGGTGAAAAGGAGGAGCGATCGTCTGCCAAATGTGTCAATGGTCCAAATGGCAGGAAATGCAAATAGAAAGTTGATGAGGCCGAATCCCCACGAGGCCAAAAGGGCCTCGAAGTCATTAGCTCCAGCGTCCTTGAACACCGTCGTTGAATAGAAAGCAATAATGTTAATGCCACACATTTGCTGGGCGATCATAACGGTAAACGCCGCAAGGGAGGCCCGACGTATTCGAGGAATCGTGAAGAGTTCGATGATTCGGTTGAAATAGTTGCCTTTACCCATGAACTGGTGTTCCAATTCGAGTTGAACATGAATATAGTATAGATCGCGGCCCGCCTGAACTGCATTGTTTCGCAGAAGAAGAAGTGATTTCATCGCATCTCGGTAGCGGTTCTTCTTCATATACCAACGCGGGGATTCCGGGCAGAAATATATCAATATGGCCAGAGGAACCGCTGGAATCACGGCAGAGCCGAGCTGATATCGCCATGCCTCTGGGCCGAAAGACGAGACGGCAAGATTCGCGCAAGTTCCCAAGAATATGCCGAAAGCGGTCCAAAGCTGCCAGCTATCATCCAGGAAATCCATGTCAGTCTCATGAGCAAGGAGTGGTCGTACCCAAGTGTTCACTCACCCCATGACAAGAGCACCACGAATAGGCGCCGGAGAGTTCTCAGCAGCAAAGATCGGGACTATCAAAGTGTGAGCAACGGCCAAATTGCGCGCGACAATATCCGGAGGGGAGCCAAACCAGTAGAAGCCTTCGTGCCCATCCCAATCCCGATCAACAAGCGACATATCAAAAGCTGCTGCCAAGTATTGCAAAAGGCACTTCCCACAACAGGCCAAAGACAGAAGTTTGCAGCAAAGAAAATGGTACCCCGGCGTCCTACTAAACTGTTGATAGGATCCGATAACCAACACCCAACGAGAGAAGTACCGATATAAGGAGCTGCGTTGACGAGACCAACGAGCAGCTTGTCGTTTATGCTGTCACCGCCGATCCCAAGGGCCCCGGGGAATGATACGGTTGCACCGTTCGTCCCCGTTTGGTCCCATCCCTGAACGATCGCCCCAATAGAGCAGCTAACCACGGTCAAAAAGAGCACATTACTGATACGCCACTTGTGGAGAATTTCATCGCGGAGAGCATCTATTTCCACCTCGGTCAGAGCCTCCTCGCCCGTAATATCCTCATAACCAGTGGGGTCCCGGGCAACGAGAGCGCCCTTTCGAATCACAGCGCGATGCTCTTCGAGTCCCTTGTCGCGAACAAATTCGTCAACGGCGCGCAGGAGCGTTCGGACGGCCAGGCCGGAAAGCGGATTCTCGATTCTATGCGATAGGTCAGGAACCTGCGGAGGGGGGGCATGGGCAATGAGCCGACATCAAAAAAGTATGGCGCACCTTGCTTCGACATTGGCGTTGAGGTTGACATGTTTGCTTCTCGGGCGGAAGCGAGTTTGCGACGTGGGTGAGATGGGTTGATGATCGCGAACCCTACTAGAACTATGAGACGAGGCAAGTGTCAGCAGCAAAGTCAATGGGTGGGATGAAGGCGATCGTGAGGGTGTGTCCCAGACACTGAGACAGCGATGAGGGAGGGGGTTCCAGGCATAAGAGAGGAATTGGGGAGGGTTGGTTTACGGTTCGGCCTCGACCTCATCAACATCGACGGCAGACGACGACATGGCTAGCCGTCGACCTGCGACAGCGGCCGCCGCCAGGAACAATCAATCGGATCAGATCACGCAGAGGAGGCGCGGGGAGAGATTTCAAAGAGAAGTCATGCGAGGCTCCAGCGGGAGTAGATCGGTTCGTGGTGATAAGACAAAACTCGCGAATCAAAGGGGTGGCGATCTGCCGAGGGGGAGGAATGCAGGATGGAACAAGCGCTGTGGAGGCGAGCCGGCAGAAACAGAGATGGCGGCCAACGACATAAGTAGCCGTGGGCCTGCAGTCATAACTAAGGATCTGGTTCTACTGCGATGCAATGAGGGGAGCCAGTACGGCAATGAAGCGGAACACAGCAAAGCAGACACGATGGGGAAAGCTGGGACGAGATACCGGCAAGAGGATTGTCGACTAATGAACAAATGGGTGGGGGATCCACTAGTGGGCGAATGAAGAGCTGAGAGAGGATCGTGGAGAACAGATGAGCCTGGGGAAGGCTCGACTATTAGCACACTAGCCTGATCCCCGTCAAAGTCCCAAGTTCAGCTGCGCGGCGGGTGAGCCCTCAATTCCAGGAGAGTCAGTCGCTGCATACTTGCTTATGCATGGAGTAAGCAGCCACTGGCTAAGAATCGAGCCTCATCACACTGCATCGCCGGCCAGCTACATCATCATTTCGAGCAGCCTCGTCGAGATTCTTTTGGCCCCACGTGCGAACACATGAGTCCATTGAGGTGTTCCGACTCCCAATGGAACTAATGGCCATGAGACAGCAAGGACCCATTCCATCCCAGGCCAAGTCAGACCGTTGCTACCAAATGCTACCCAGAGAATCCTCCCCCCCCTGCAACGAACCAGCCCACTACGGCTCGGGGAAGGAGCCGAAATGCAGCGTACATTGTGCGCCCGAAGTTGCAGTCAGCAGAAGAGACCGGCGATAGATTCGCAGTCATCCAAGTGGAATTCGACGCTCGGATCCCTTCGCAAGTCCTTGAGTCATATTTCGGCAATCGGCGATGGTCCAGGCGTTAGAGGACGAACATCCAACTGTCCAGCTTCCAGAGAGAGTTTGGCCTGGTTACATCAATAGACCTATATTTACTTCCCTGTCTGCCTATCTAGAATATTCTTACTGCAACCACCCACATGGCAAAATCCAGAGCTTTTACCAATTACTACATCTATCGAGATCCATTTTTGCATCATTCTTTACCCACAATTCTTCCTTCCAGATCACGGCAAGCATGTCAAGGTTGAGAAGCCCAAACAAATTTGCGGATCAAAGACATGGATTGAGAGTGATCTCAGTTCTGGGTTTCATACTCATACCTATGCAATGTCCATACAAACGCTCATACCAGGAACAGAATAACAAAGAATGATCCCGTTTGTCCAACAGGCTCAAATGCCCTAGTCGATCTCCGCTAAAATGCCAAACCAAGAAAAAGAAAATAGAATAGCAACGGCGCTAATTAAAATAATCTCCTTGAGGGTGCAAATGCAGTAAGAAGAGAAGAAAAAATCAATAAGAAGTATTGGCAATGAATGAGAGAAGGAAATGCCTGCCAGGTATTGATACAAGATATGATACTGGGTCAATCACTCTTTTTCCGGGGTTGCCGTCGCCTTGGCCTGCAAGTCCGACAACTCCTCGTCCTTCTGCTTCATCCTCTGAAGAAGCACTTCGTATTTGCGCTGCCACTCCTCGGCCGAGAGTCCATTCATCCCTACCGCACCATCTTCTGGACTGCTCGACCCGGGCCTCCTCCACATACTCTTGGAAACGTTGTGCTCCATCGCGACTTGTCCTACAAGATGCCCGAACCGGTACTCCCATTCGAACTTGTAGTTGTAACAATCCTTGCCGTCCGCCAGACGAGTGCATTTTACCGGTTTCGCCTTGAGAGCCCGTGCGCCAGCCAGAACTGAGAGGTTGAGGAGGAATGAAGCGGTGTCGGTAGCCGCATTGATCATGTCCTGCATTATCGAATTGATTATAGCCGATGCTTCCCCAACAGAGGCCACATCGTCAGGGTTGCCGTGCTGATCCAACCAGATTCCTTCTTGTGCTGCTTGCAAGAAGTACTCCATTAAAGAGTCCACATTGGTTCTGTCCTCCATTCTCTCAAAATAGTAGTCTCCAACTGGTTTTTCGACTGGGCGAGCCCCCTGGCTTTCTGTATCGGATTTCTCAGTCGTCTTCATGGTGGTTTCTATGAAACGAGGAGCTTGGCTTTCGATCGTCTTGTTGCTTTCAGTAGTCGGGTCTCCTGCCACCTCCCCGTTCACCACCACTACAGGTGGGGGCGGCGTCGCAAGCCGTATGGGTCCACCCGATCTCTCTGGTACTTTCAGTGATATGACCGGCCGTGCAGGCCTTGAATGCTGAGAAGACGATCTGACCGGGGGCCGCACTGGGGGCCTCGCCGGGGAAGTGTCCGCAGTCGTTAAGAACTGGTGGCTCGGCGGCTGTGGGGTTGGACTTGGCGTCACGACCGCCACAGCAGGCGCTTGTGACGGGGAAGACTCCTGGTTGGACTCGGTGATAGGGCTCGCTGCCAGATTCGAACCCGGCTTTGCAGGTAGCCATGGCTGAAAGTGGAATCCAGGACCTTCAATAGGCGTCCGATTTATGGGCGGACGACCTCTAGTCTTGCCCCCACCCTCAGCACCGCCTGCCTTCCAGGCTGACGATACATTTTTCGCACCGCGGCGCTGACGCCCCGGCTTCAGCTGGGATGGCGTAGTCGCGGACTGTGGCTCAAGGGCATCATCCCAGAACGAACCTCTCACTGTTGGGGTCACGGCTGAGGTGGGCCACTGGCTGAATGGCGTCTGCGAGCCATCATTTTTACCCAGCACAGGATGTGCGGACCTGGCTCCGTCAACGTATCCCGAGAGCTGGGGATCGCCTAGATTCTCGCCCAGGAACGAGGGCGAAAGTCTCATTTTCTGAGCCGCAGATCCTGGGCCGTCAGACTCGTCCGGTCTTTTACGGCCTCGTCGGGGGCGGATTTGTGGCAAAAGTGCCCGCAGGGCCATGTCGTCCTCCAAGGCCACGCCATCCCGCACCTGCTGCGAAGTTGGGTCGGGATCTCCGGGAATTTCAGTCCAGTATTCATTTTCTACACCTCGAAGATAGTCGAAAAAGGCCTTGATGTGCAGTGAATTCATCCATTTCTATATCATGTCAGCAATCGCGATCTTACTTACATCCACCAATCACCGGCTAGACCGTGTAAGCTCTCGCCTCAACTCTCTACAATTTTCGAGCAAGAGCAAGGGCACCAAAAAGAAAAGTCGCTTCCCAGTGACGGTAGCCTTCTCTCACCTTTAAGCGGACCCCATATTGGGTGACCTTTTGAGCACTTTCGTCCTTCTTCGGGTCCGGAGGCTCCACCCCCAGTTTGATAGTCAGCTCCGTCCACGTCTTTATCTCTTTCCGTAAAAACTGCAGGACTAATTGGTACACAGTGAAGGTTTCGAAACTCTTTCCAGCGCTCTTTGGTGGGTTACTGAAAGCATCTCGCAGGGCCTGTGTATCCTGGTCGGCAGGCACCGCTGGGTTGCAATAGAAGATAAACTTCACATATGCATCCTCGAGAGTTGCCGCGGTGACAGCCCTGTCGGGCAATGCGCGATTGCTCTCAGAGACGGCACCGCCTTGCTCTGCTCCATGAGCTGGGGCCAGCGCATGCTGCTGCTGTTGCTGCTGAGCCTGCCCACCGAGTGAGGGCATGGCTGAACTCCACCTCCAGCGAGAGGGAGGACAATGACGCACCCTCGCCTCTCATCACATCAGCTGCAGGAAACAACGCGCAGGGTGCTTTCAATACGCGACAGTCCGCCAGACGATAAGGATGGCCTGGTGAGCTCCCGGCAATGCTTGAGTTGAGAAGAGCTTTGTCGCTGTTGGGCTCGCTCGCCAGGACGACTGTTGTGGTGTCGAGCGGGAAAGCGCTATAATTAGCCCCATCTGAAACGGGGCTAAATTGGTCCGTGGTTGTTGGCACTGTGTGTGCTCATGCATCTAGCGTGGTTACTACAGTGCGACCTCGTACGTGCTCCCTTTGGCTAAATCTCACGATTCGCGGGGTAACTGTAAAGCAACATTGAACTCGGGGAACAGTTTGACTCCCTCTTAAAGATATGTAATGGCGATTTCGCAATCCTGTTTCTATTTCTTACTTTCCGGTCATGATAATTCCTAGAAGGCCAGGCCCAGAAAGTACCAAGTTGTACCTCATGCCCAATGTACCCTACTCCTCCCAAGAAGGCTGTTACTCCTAAGAAAGCTGCTACTCCTAAGAGGGCTACTTCTAAGAAGCTTGCTCCCAAGATGCCGGCATTCACTTTCAAAAACTCTCACGTTGAATGAACCATCCAGAACGATCTGTAACCTGTACATCAAAACCCAAAGCAAGTCCCTTCGCCAGAGTGTCCAAACTACCGCTCCCAAAACAACAATTTTCATCAACTATATTAATGTGACGCAGTCGTGGGAGCCTTGTAGGATAAGCTGCGGCCAACGATTGGATCATCTGAATAACATAATCATCCGCGTTGTAAGCGTCCGAATCGCCATTGTCCCAATCGACATCGTCCATGAACCATTCGACCGCATCATGAACAAGCATTCCGGTCGACAAAGACAGGATCTCGATACTATCTGGGAGGTAGCGCTCCAAAGGCAGAGCATCGGCCCCAAAGCCGGCCAGCGTCACCAAGGGTACATCGATATGAGTTATCTTATTGAAATGAACAAGGTTGCTGAAAGATCCCAAGATAGTCATCTCTGGTTCATCATCAAGAAGCGAGCCCTCTCCAATTTCCAGTCGAAATTGTAGCCTTTCTAGCGTGCCTTGGACGTGCGAGAGGGCTGCAATGATCGCATCAAGGTCTAGAGTAGACGTTTTCCAAGGATCGTCATCGAGCTCATTGTTGTATTCCCAGGTCCAGGAGAGAGACTTCAGGTTTCGTGTGAGGGTAAGTATTTTCGCCATAAAAGGTTCACAAAGCCAATCTATGTCCAGTGAAGTTAGATGATCAAGGTTAGGCTCTCCAGCTGGCCAAGAGAATGTTGTGGGATTTGAAATCCAAGTTGAAATATGTGTAACTGTCGGTAGGTAGAAGAGGGACAGTGCATCGGTAAATGTGGAATTGTTCTCTGGGAGATCATAGTCAAATACTTTAATGTATCTCACATCTTCAAGTTGTTCAAATGCGAGTAGTTGACCACCGCCAAAGACTTTGGACTGGATAACTTTGCCAACAAGACTACAGCCATTAATAAAGTTATGGTTGAGAGCAAGACGTCGAGTGTTAGATAGGTTGGCAATTATAAGGCCAACAAGGGCTTCCATATTGCCCGTCTTCAATCTGTCAACCCAGAGCTTAGTGTATGGCACCTGTGTCTTCTCGATGGCAGGGATAAACTGCTCGAATGGTATTTCGGTGATATCTAGCAGGGGTGGTGATTTTCCGTCGTCAGAGTCATCTCCGAGGAAAGTAATTGTATGTACATAGGTAAAAAGCTCTGGTCTTCGGAGAAGAGTCCGCAGAAGAAGAATAATTGGAGGGATATGGTTATAGTCCCAATGAAGAATAATCGTGGAATAGAGAAAGCGCTCAGCCCATTGGCGCAGGGACTGATTGACGAGGCAAAGGTTTGGAAGCCCAGATCTTGGGATGAAACGCAAGATTTGGTCAATTATTTCAATTGGAACATGAGGAAATAGCGCCATGATGTGTGGAGGGGTGATCAATCACCACGCTTGGTGAGCTCAGACTTTGATATGAGAAGAGGGGAGTGGTGCCTTAAAGAAAAGAGGGGATGGGAAGAAATCTAGCTGTGCAAAATGTATTTTCAGATCTATAGGTACGGATGGAAAGATTAAACTTAGGACTTTGGACTGCTACCTCGGTAAGCTAGGTATACCCATCACATCAACGAACTATTGATTTCCTCAGCCCTAGTCACATGCTTCATCACAGCCCTTCGCTCAAACTGCCTTGTATCGCCGCAAATATCGGTGGCTGTTTGCAGAACGCGCGGTTATTGATAATTCAACGCATGTGCATAGCAGTAGGTAGGTACTCTGTTTAAGTATCAAGGTTGGTCTATAAGTGTAATCAACGCCCCTCCTGTTAGCCTTTTAACCCTTAATTTCAGCCAAGAAAACAGCTCCAGCATAGGGTCTGATCATTCTTACATAATACCTAGTAGAAGGGTGTATGCTATGATTGGCTTCGTGGCTGGGTCGGGCGGTCGTGATTCTCGCCTTTCACCCATCCAGAACATACAAGTAACCGTTTACGGCCAGTATTTTAGCATGCACATCAACATTGGAATATAGATGTTTCAAAAACAAATTGTCATGTATAAGAGATAAAGTAAATGAAAAATGCATTCGCTTTGGAATGGTCCGTCAATTCCAATAAGTTATACCAGGGTGCCTGTAACTCCACGGGATCTCGAGAACCTTGCCCATCCCTTTATTAACTCCTTCATTCTCTAGACATACATAAGCTCAGATATGTGTGTCTCGGCTTTCATCTCAGTTTCAAATATGCTAAGCCACAGTTGGCTGTTTCCAAAAAAGAACCTGGCCGGGGGTATTTCATCATGGTAGAGACAGTGCTGGTAAATATGCCTATTAAATGCAGTCCATGAATTTCGTTCACGGAAGATATCGCCATAAAAAGAATGTGAGGATTTTAGTTTCGTCGGCTTCCTCGACCTCTCGTGCTGCCACTCCGGCTCATGGCCGTTCCGCCGAGACTGCTCTGTCGGCTCATCGGGGCTGCCGAGTACGAACCAACTTTGGGACTTGGGTGATCACGTAGACTTGAGACTGGCAGGTGAAGCGTGTCATGGAATACCTCGGGGTCCTCTCGAGGCGCGCTAGTGAATGCGACGAATCGTCCTTGATGGTAGGGAGTCGAGACGGCCTCGAGAACCCTGCGGAACCCTGAAGATACATCGAGATGAGCTCCAGCTTTGTGGGCATGATCGTATTGCTTCAGGTAGTTCATGAGCGACAAATCGGAAGAGATATCGTCCTGGGCAAGAGGAACGGGGAAGTTCTGGTCAGAGCTTCTGGGATATGCCTTGAGGTATTGCTGCGGGACAGGTGGTGGCATCTTCGGGGGCTCAAGAGCATGGACAAGATCCAGATTTGCTGGGATTTCGAAATTGGCAATTCCCTCGATTCCCAAGATCTTGTCATCCACAAAGTTATGGTTCGCGGCTCCACGTGTACTTCTAGTAGCGTGTGAGACCTGGCGCTCCATCATAGGGGCAGAAACCTCGTCATCGCCGTGCTCCTCACCATTGCCAGAGTCACTATCATCTGGCGATGATCCGTTGCCGTTGAGTCTGTTACGGAGGATATATTGGTGAGCCGCCAGGGCGGCGTTGTTATAGTGGAGAGACAGCTCCTTGTCAGTGAAGAGTTTGTCGATGCTATAGATCGGGCCGTTCTGCTTAGCAGCGGCTCGGGCCTTCTCCGACTGCCAGAGGGGAGTGGTAGAATTGGGATCCAGAGCCCTGCGTGTAGGCGCCGGAGAGCCATCATCTTCGCCGCCGTTGCGCTTTCTCTTCTTGTTGTCGGAATACATGTGGAGATCTTCGGCATCTTTGCGGAGCCTGGTCGCTCGTTTTCCGTGAGCACCGCCAGGGCTGGAAGGGTTGGTAATGCTGAATTGGTTTGGGTTGAGTAGAAGAGCGTTGGAGTCGTTGATCTCCAAGACTTCTTTCTCGCGATTCAGTCTATTCTTCTTGTGTGTCAGGGTATTGATGAGGCGGTCGCGGAGAGTGCTGGTCAAAGCGTTGTGCTCGCGCTTAGCAGTCTCGACCTTGTAGGCATGAACATTTTTGTATTGTTGAGCTCGGAAGTCAAATTCATTCTAGTTGGTCGGGCATGTTAGTGAATTGGCTGGCTCGAGTGGGCACGCTCGCTGGGCGGACAAACCTTAGACTGCGTCAGCTGAAAATCGCGGACCTCAATGAGGTCTTCAACCTCCTCAATGAAGCTTAGAAATTTGGGGCCAGCCATGTCCAGCAGGCTTCTGGCATTCTCAGCGTTGACGGTAGGAGCCTGGCTCTCTTTGTGTTCCTTTTGTAAGTCGGAGATGATCTCGAGCGCCCGCTGGTCGTAAGGGTCGAAGCGCTGGACAAGGTTGGTATCGAGCTGGATCTTTTGGAGCTGCTCGCGGTAGGTGGTATCTCGGTCTCGCTGGAATTTCTCGTTCATTGCTGCAAGTCTATCCAGGAGGACCTGGCGTTTGCGGTCTCGCTTGGATTGGGAGGCTGTCGGGGGAGGGGAGCGTCGTTCAGGCCTGCCGCCCACGACAGAGGGAACGGCCGCAGTATTGGCGGCCATGATGAGTTTCTCGATCAGACGAGTGGGAAAGTAGTAGAAACTAAGAAGATAGAATCCAATGATGAGGTTTAAGAGTATGGCCAACTGGTGATCGCTGGCGAGTAACAAGGGGTCTGTAGTGTCGAATGCGCGGAGTGTGAGCAGGAGAATTGGAAGACTTATTATTGCTACGACGTAAGTAGCCGAACGGAAGAGCCCAAGTGCAGGACAAGCGCCAGGGCAGCCCGTGCGCTAGGCCGGCAGTAAGATGGGAGGAGTATGCGCAGCACGCCAAAGGAACAATAAACCTTGGATTTGCGCACAAAAAAAGTATATGTGTATGTAATTGTCCCTCTATCCACAATGACAAAGGTTGTAGCATTTATTCCCATTTCTCATCGCCGCCCTCTATAGCTGCTATTCAAAACCATCGCGAATGCCACAGGTTGATTTCCTTGGGCCACCTCACCGCCTACCAAAAGCGTAGGCTGCCAGTAAAGAGCAATTGTGGGACCTACCAAAAGCCAGTGAGAAACAATTGTGGGATATCCATGTCCGCAGCTCAGAATTGTGGGTCATATTCATCACAATCAGTTGTCCGACGATGAATGAGCTGACAATACTAGGCAAGATTGAAAAGTGAGATTTCTTTCCGAATTTAGACAGTAGTGATGAAATCCGTGATACATTGTCTAATGTTCCCCAAATATATATCTGCATACAGACGACAGTAGACAATGATGCTGCTTTTCTAATATACCGGTATGAATACTTTTCCCTGTTTAGAGTTTAAAGGTGAAGCTCGTCTTGACGAAACCCATTCGCTATGTTTCTCGTCTTAAATACCATTTCGCAGCCGTTGCAGTTGAGTAAGAAGACCAAATCCGCCCGGCATTGGTTTTGATTCCCCAGCTACAGCAGCATCCCTCGTGACGCTGCCCTTCCGCGCCCTCGATCCCTCCAATTTGCCATCCTTTCTGGTCCCTGGGTCCATATCTCTCATTAGTTCGCGGTGTCTATCCTCAACCATCTTCGCTAGGCTTTCAATAAACTTATTTCTTCCATTTTCCTCGGATGTCCCCTTCCACACCGTAGTCAGGAGCTTCAACTCCTCGATCCTCTCAGCAGCCTTGGCGATCCCATCCACAGGGTCCTCGGAGCGCAGTAATAAGTTTGAGATTTCCTCTCGTAGCTTCCTAAGCACCTCCTGGCCCTTGTCCTCAGAGCTCTGCTGCTGGGATCCCGGTTCCGGCGCAGACACGGAAAGAAAGGAGCTGCTGACCGAGAGCTCTGAGGGAGGGAACACGAACTCCATCGCATCCCCGAACGTCCTGACGACAGCTTCCAGGCGCTCACGCACCAGTGTGAGGGTCTGCAGCTGCTTGACATAGGGCGGGTCCCCTGCATCTTCGACGATGTCTGCCTCCTCCTCCGCCGTCTCTGATGTCGGGCTCCCACGGCCGTCATCTGATGCTCCGTCTTTCCTCTCCTCTTTGGCAGTCTTCAAGCCCCCGGGCACGAACTTCTCAATGTCCTCCTGGAGGGTGTCGTGCATGGTCTCCGTAAGACTCAGGGTCTCTCCACGTAGCAGCTCCACCTCGTAGGCCAACCTGCTCCCACTCCGTAGGATATCATCGGTCAACGATGTCAGCGTGGTAGACAGTCTTGAAGTGTGGGCGTTAAGCTGGTTGATGAGAGTCTGGGCCTGCGTCGACAGCTCAGCAACACCGGAACTCTCTGTGCTTGTCGCCGCCGACCGCTGCAGGGGCGGCAGGGTGGAATTCAGGAAGGAGGCCGGGTCGAAGCCCGGCGTGAGGAACGGTCTGAGGAACTCGTCTGATGTGTGACTCGACTTTGGCTGGACCTGCACCGACGCCCCTCGCGCATGGCCGTTGCGGCCGATGGGGACAGCACTGCTGTTCGTTCGGCGACGACCCTGTTTCAATTCCGCCGCCATCCTGCCCACGAAAATGCAAACGCCAGGTAAATAGTTCTACTGCGCCCCTGAAACAAAGGAAATGCAGAGCGCTATCAATTTGAAAATGCTTGGGACTGGCGATTCAGTTGCGTCGTGCTCTTTCTGTGTGACGGAGGATGGCAATTAGGTGGTCACTAAGAAATGGTGGAAACGCCGCTGTGAGAGTCGTGACCGGACCAAGCCGATAATATCCCGACCCCATCTTCACTCGCAAAAGACAGTCAAACTCATCAATCTCAAGCCCAGCATTATTCAACTCACATATAGATATTCTTTCTGATACAGTGGATATGAGCGAGGAGATGAAGATTGACCCGGCAAGAGCACAAGCTCTCATCTCCCAGATAGGGCTTGTCAAAGACCGCATCGCCGCAGTCGCCAATGGCCGAAATGTAAGCTCTCCCTGCCATCAGGCACTCCATAAGAGTTCTCATACTTGGATTCTCTCAAGGTATATGCTTTTACTAATCATTGCCTCGTCTCCTTCCCAGATCCGTCTGGTCGCTGTCTCCAAACTGAAGCCCGTCAATGATATCCTGGCTCTTCACCAGGACCCAGTAGCTCAAACACACTTCGGCGAGAACTACACCCAAGAGCTCACACAGAAAGCCGAGCTGCTGCCGCGCACGATCCAGTGGCACTTTATCGGTGGTCTGCAGTCTGGTGAGTCCGGCAGTCTTCATCCGTCCTCATTTCCCCCTCCTTATTTTATAATTGAGGCAATGAATGAATGAGTCACTGATCCCACCCAACAATGGAAAGGCCACTGCAAGACTCTAGCAAAGATCCCCAATCTCTTCAGCGTATCTAGCGTGGACACGTCAAAGAAAGCGCAGCTTCTAAACACAGCACGCACCAACCTCATCAGCTCCGACTCTTCCATCCCCAAGCTCGGTATCCACGTCCAGGTGAACACCTCCGGCGAGGAGGCCAAGTCCGGGTGCGCCCCCGGCTCCGAGACCGTGGCCCTCTGCCGTGAGATCATCGAGACCTGCCCAAGCCTGGAGCTCCTGGGCTTGATGACCATCGGTGCCATCGCGCGGAGCAAGGCCACCACGGCGGAGACGGAGAACGAGGACTTCCTCACGCTCCGGGACCAGCGACAGCTCGTCGCCAAGGAACTGGGGCTGGATGAGGACAAGCTGGAACTGAGCATGGGCATGAGCGAGGACTTTGAGGGAGCAATCAGCCTGGGCAGCAGCGAGGTGAGGGTTGGGAGCACCATCTTTGGCGAACGGCCGGCAAAGGCCGACGCAAAGATCAAGGTTTAAAATGCAGCAGTCATCAAAAATAAGAATCGGAAAACTTCATTGTTCATATCACAATGAGACAAAAAATCCTCTCCAAAAACGTCACTTGTTGCAAAATACGTTCATGTGAGAGAGCAAACCAGACGTCGTGTTGAGCAAACATAATTTCAGAGACCACGCCAAGGAACATCTCATTTCATCCTACATATACTAGAAACATTTTAAATACCTTCCCAACAATGTAGCTTGTAGTCAAAATGTTAGCAGTTTTTAACGCTGTCATGCTTTCAGAGTGAACGCCCCCAAAATTAACCTCATGCCATCATCAGAATGAGTTATATACACTCTGTAAAGAGAATTACTGTTGGCTAGATTCCCGACGCTCAAAGATTTTACGGTATCGCCCTACATCATTGGCCACCATCGTGGATGTTGATGATTCCTCTAGACAGTCGGTCCTTGATCATTTTCAGAAGAATGGGTGCAACTGTATCGTCTGTGGCGCGGACCGTCAAACGAATCATCTAAGAGGGCACAACTGTTAGAAAATCGCATCGACAACAAACAGCCCCGGGGGTGTCTGCTTACCTGACTAGAATAGTTTGGCTCAAGCCTCATCAAACAACCAAACTTGCCTCCCTCAGCCGTATGAAGCACGCCAGCACCGACGATATTCTTAGGGTTGGGATCAACCATGTCCAACACCCGCCATCTGAAGCCACTCACTGTTTTGGTCACGAAATCGGGTGTTATCTCTCGGTGACTTCCACCGCCCGAAAGGCCAAAAATATCTTGCGCCTCGCGTGGAGCACCCCCGATCTGCTTCCATCTCTTGAAGAAGTCTTCTGCGGTAAGATCGGCAGGGTCCATGAACTTATGGATGGCAACAGGAAGCTTGAGTGTGACAGCCTGCAGAGCACCAGCAAGATAGCTGATCCTCACCGTTGGGCTCTTCTCAAATATCGTCTTGGCTTCAAACATGATGACTTGTTGCGTTTGAGATCCTGGAAGAACGTTGCTCTCAGGGAGTGTCTTGGTATCCCATGTCAACTTGCCCTTTTCGGATTCATCCAAATCCAAAGTGGTAGTGAACGAGCCCAAAGCTGTAGGGGCTTTATTGCTGAAGTAGGCAATGATGCATGCCATCTGGCCACGGTATTCGGATCGGATACCAACTTGAATTTGGCCATCTTCATACAAGACTCCCTCGCCTTTGAGAATCAATCTGTTATAGCCCTTCTCCCATCCAGGGGACAAGTGCGCCGCACTGGCAAGATTAGGAGTTCGAGGAGTTATAGGGGAAGTCATGTCCAGGCCAGCGAGCGATGCACCATTGCCCAATTGACCATTTCCAGCACCGTTCGTGGAGGCGTTGGAACTAAACGTCCGCTTAAGACGTGGTGTGGCCATCCCTAATTCAGTGTTATCGGCATTTGCATCCTTGCCTCCTACAACCCAAGTCCTCCGATCACTGGTGTTGGCATGCTTTCGGTGGAGTCGGGATAAGAGGGCAGACTGTCTCTCAGGGAATGGTGGCATTTCGTCGCACACAGTCCTGAGAAGATCATCAGTAGACCGGGTGGCAAGGGCATAATATTCGCAAGCTCGCTGCTGCATCTCTGAGTCCAGAGTATGGCTGTAGATGTCGAATTGGTTCACAAGCTGAGGCTTGATTTCAGGGAACAAATTGACAAATTTGATAAAGCATGACAGGATCATGGAGCGAGTGCTGGATGAAGATGGTGCAACCTTTGACTGCAGTGCGATGAACTGCTCGATGGGGCTGCATTTGGGTTGGTCTGCGATCAGATGACCGAACTCGCCAAGGAGGTAGGCACCAATCTTGACCAAAGTCTCATGGCAGTGATCTGACCTCACATACTGAAGGATATTCTGCGCCGCATAGACTTGAAGTTCCTCGTTGTTGGTCACGATCTGTATTACTCGCTGCCAGACCTCGTCGCTAACATGGTCTCCAGCCATGGCGATCAGTCGAAGAGAGATGTCGACATACCACTGAACATCGGTGGCATATTTCTCCGTCAAGATGGCAATCTTCAAAACCATTTCCTCTCTAATAGCAAAGTCGGCATTCTGGAGGTAATGAAGAAGCTCGGCCACAATAATCTGGGCATTGTCTGTGTCACACATGCTGTAAAGCAGGTCGAGACCCTTTCTGCGAACACTGATATCTCGGTCCTTGAGGGAGCTGAGAATAATTTCCTGGTGTTGCTTGATGGGCTGCAAAGTCTCTGCCCGCGCAGCAAGATGGGTCATGGCCTCCAAGCCCAAGTACCTGACGTTGGTCTCCCTACTTTGGATGAAGCGTCCCAGGCGAGAAGAAATCTGCTTCATCAATCCATGTTCTGTATCAAGATGAATGATGAGATCGATGGCCTCGAACAAAACCGCATTCTGTGCATTATTTTGTTGTACATTCTTGTTGGGCTCCATCGCGAGGTTGAGAATTTTTTGCAGCACCTCTCTCATCATATCTCTCACATGTGTGTCCTCTGAAGAAGGTCGGGGTTAGCCATTTACACGCTTCAGCTCACATAATAGAGTGTCAACATACCGGAAGGGGGGAAGTATTGGAGAAGTCGAAGTAACTTTACTTGAAGCCAAGGGCATGGAACCTTGTAATAAAGATAGTCGGTGGTATACTCCCCGTCGATGATGATGCGCTTGAGCCTCGCCGCCGCCTTGGCATAGGCTCCTTTGTAGAGGTCTAGGTTGTCTTGGGCCAACGCCATGACCAGAGATGTGACTGAGAGTGCGACACCAACATCAGTATCGTCCATCAAGTGGATGATTCGTTCAGCCCATTGAGGTGATACGATATCCGGGTGCTTCCGGTACAGCCGCAACAGCGTCAGAGCTGACTTCTTTTTCACGAATGACTTGGAAGTCGGGGAGATCAAAAGCCGATGCACCTCGCTGTTCAGGGCCTCTCCCATCTCACGACTACCAACGTTGGCGATGGCATGCAAGGCCAGACAGTTGAACAGCTCATTGTGGTCCAATAGATCTTTCCGGATACTATTGACGACCAGATGCAACAGCTCATGCTTTTCATGGAGAAACAATGTCATCGCAAGATACCCAATTTGTTTCTCGGAGTATTTGGTAGCAGAGATGAGGTTGACAGCCTCGAGATGGCCAAAGTCAACATCCCAGCCCATGATGTAAATGTACAGCAGCTTGCAAACGTATTTCTTCTTGTGATATCCGCTGAGGTTGGCCTCTTTGAACTTTTGTCGGATATTCGCTAGCTCCTTGTTGATTCGCTTTTCCTCGAGCTCGCGGGCGCGCGCATTCCGCAAATCGGCGATGAACTGGACGAGCCCTCGCATGTTGGCATTGCTATTGCTCGACCGGCCGAGGAAGCCGGATCCTGGAGTAGACATGTTGCAAGGTGCTTGCTAGCCCTTGAGGCTGAATTCGAAAAGAATGGCGGTTTGGGAAGCTCGGCGCAGGTGGCGGTAGGCCAACAGAGCTCAAAGCAGGGCAAGTCGAGGACGAGACACACAAACTCCAAACAGTATAGACCTATGGCGGAACTCTCATACTCAGGAGCAAGGGGCCGATTTAACTTAAGCGGCCGGCATTGAATGGAGGCCCCCAAGCTTGGCGCTGTCCGTTCGAATCGATAGGGAGGATTGTAAATCGAGGGGTTCGCTTGGTTCGGCGGAGCGTCAGTCAAGGAAGCGGCGGCAGTGCGGAAGAAATGGCCAAGCCGACACAGAAGGACCTATCGGGACGTAGCAGCGACACCAGCAGGTCCGGGAGTTGGATGATGCAGCAGATGCCGAGTCGTGTACAGCTGAGGCAAGGTATCTGCAACGGTGTGAGATTGGGAGATTATGGCAGCCGGGAGTTCGTCCCACCACTCACTGAAGATGCTAAAGGAGTGGCCCCAGAGCACATAAATGGTCCAGTGGGAACGCTGCACGGGCCAAGTCCTAATCCAGCACGACGCCAGTCACGACCAATCGGTCCACCATCTTCCCGTCGCCGTACTTCAGCTGGTATTGACCACTGGATGCTGTGTCCATTCCAGCTCGGGATACCCTGCAGCGCCGGTTTGCTGAAGATTGCCTTGAGGTATGTAGTGGGAGTTCTGCTATTCACACTTGCGGTAATGGAGGGCTTGTAGCTTCCTACCTAGTATCAACAAGTGCTACCCCAGAGTCGCACTGCCGTTCGCGCAAGACAGACAATGCGGACCAAAGTTCTAGGCCCAGGCATGAATAAGGGTGCCACAAATGGTATGCGTCAACATCGAACCCCGATAGATGCGGAGGACAAGAAGAATCATGCAGGAGGCCTACAGTCTGCGGCTATAACATAGATGCCTTATCCACAGCACCTCAACTGGCTCTTTATCATATTGACACTCTAAAATTAACGGGTTCGCCTTACAAGCTGGCCGTTGATGTAAGATCTAAGTCACTTTGCTTTTGGCGGTGGCTAGTGGGGCCGATGCCGTCAACCTCCAACCAGACTTTCTCAATACCTCATCACAATATTTCCAATCTGCATTAAAACGGCCGCCTGCTTCGAATTCGCATAGAATTACATGCAACCACCCCTCCACACCTCCAATCCAGTCTAGATTGGAGTAGCATGTAATGTCAGGATGCGCGCGATCTCTATTTCCGGCAGGCCGGTGCTTGTCCAGCTCGCGCCAGCTTCCCATCTCAACATTTAATCGAAGGGCGTTTGCGGTTCAGTCTGGTGGTGCACCTCGCTTCCAAGTCTTCAACCGGCGCACTAAATGGCTCCAGAAGGAGCGCACAGCTACAAACCCAGAGGAAAGCCGCGTGGCCGATTATTTGAAGGACGAGGTTGCGTCGCGGCTCACAGAGCGACTGCTGGTTCGTAGTCTAAACCCCCACCACCGAGGCGAGCTGTCGCCGTCAAGAAGCTCACTAACATATTGACTCACCAGGATATCAAGCGTCACTTCCCGAAAGTTCTTGATTTAGGTGCCAATTCCTGCAACATCGCAAGAGCTTTGGTGCGAGACAACCCAGACCCCGATCCGGAACTGCCTGCCTCCTCACCTCTGGTCACCCGTATCTCTGAGCTCGTTGCCGCCGATTCTTCGGAAGGCCTCCTGTACCGCGATGCGGATCACGACTTCAACAAGCAGATCAATATTACTCGTCAAGTTCTGGATGATGAGGAATCACTCCCTTTCGAGCCTAATTCCTTCGACCTTGTCATGAGTTCTCTGAGTCTCCACTGGATCAATGACCTCCCAGGTGTATTGACTCAAATCAACAGTATTCTCAAAGAAGATTGTCCTTTCATTGGTGCTATGCTGGGAGGCGACACATTGTTCGAGCTTCGAACATCTCTGCAGCTCGCCGAGCAGGAGAGGCGGGGCGGCATCTCACCACATGTGTCTCCATTAGCGGACGTCAAAGACGTCGGAGGCTTGCTCCAGAAGGCCGGTTTCAAGATGCTGACGGTGGACATCGACGATATCATCGTTGATTACCCCGACTCCTTTGCATTGATGCAGGATCTTCAGGCCATGGGTGAAGGGAACGCTATCCTGGGACGAGAGATGGGCCCAATTAGCAGGGACGTTCTCCTTGCCAGTGAGGGCATATACCGAGAGCTTCACGGAAACCCCGATGGTTCTATTCCTGCTACATTCAGAATTATATACATGATCGGGTGGCGAGAGAGCGCGACCCAAACCAAGCCTCTGGCCAGAGGCAGTGGTGACATCAACCTCAAGGACATCTTAGAACAAAAGTAAATAATATTCTCGGTTTTCGATATTCCCAGAGGGATCTATCTCGGGGGCTCCAGTATATGATGGCACCGTCCCTCATGTAACAAAATCAAAGCAGCGTGCATTTAGAGACCTATGTATACCCCGTTCCGTCCATCTATCATCTCTGTGTACCAGCCACCAACACCGAACTACACCCTCCTCCAATCCGTCATTGTGCGGGTAATGCAGCCCAGACCAGCAACTTCCACGACCTTCTCGTGCCAGCTCAGCAAAACGCTCATCGCCGCAGCAGCGGGTTCGGTGGTTCCTGGTCGTGAGGCAAACTGGCTGAATCCACCAGTCGACTGAGGCGTAACCTTGCTAGCTCCGTTGGCTCCTCCTCCCATTCCTTTGTAGCTGTATATTTCAAAATCAAGTCAGATACCAGTGTCCATTTCTTCTGGAGATGCGAGAAGGGAAACGGGAAACACCCACATATACTTGACGAGCACATCGAGTGCCTCGCTTCCGCCCTCGGAACCGTAGATGCTCTTGAGCAAAGGGCTCATCTCGCTCGCCTTGATCGACTGCAGAACCTCGAGGATGGTTTGCAGGTGCGCATCCTTCAAATCGCGCAATTCATGTCAGCGGGACCATGTTCCTCACCACAACCGACGTCATCAAACCGCCCCGTGAGCCATACCTTTGCACCATCAGTTCCATTGTAGACCGGTGTATCCAAGCACCCCCTCAGGGCGCCCTCGGTGTCGCCTCCGCGGAGGAGCTGCCTAACCTGACCCGCAAGCTGCCGCACCTCCGCCTCGGTAATCTCTGGTTGCGGGGGGCGGAGGGTCGAGGTGTCGAAGTTGACGCTGGACTCCTCGGTGAGGGCGTCAATGTCGATCGTGCGCCATGCGTCGCTCAGCGTGGCGCTGGTGTGTTGCTGGATAATTGACATCTTTCCGGGTGTCTTCCTTCTGGCAAGGTAAACTCGTGTATCGGTGTGAGAGCTGGGGTTGTAGCTGAGTGTCTGCCTTGAAGCTAGGCGGGATCGCTCATGTGTGGTGCGTCAGCGAGCTGGCGGGGTGGAGAAATGCTGTGTGGGGGAGAGCTTCCTGTGGCACCGCCTACCCTATACCACACCGGGAAACGGGAAACCTCAACCTCATGAGGTGAGTTGCATATGAATTTCGTGATTGCTCGATAAAATATAGCACAGCCTCTATAAGATGACTAGTGTTGGAAACTCTCTTTCCGATTGACTCAATTGGGTCAATGTAAGGGATCTCTTAATAATAGGCACATTAGACGTAAAATCTCACGGATATACTAACTTTGAATTACTAAATTGCCCGGTTCCGAGAAGATGTGATAAGACGGACAAGCAAAAGCACATGTAACCGAGGCCGGACAAAAATATACCGAGACCACAGACAACCATCGAAAAACGAAGAGTTTAACTTATTAAACATATTTGGCTGCCGCAAACCAACACGCCTCAAGGGGATGAGACGACTCAATCAATGTTGCGTTGCTGGGATGCAACCATTCAGAAAACCCACCACGCTTCAATAATTCTGCAAGCATTGGCCGAAGACCTTAACGCCTTGCCAGGAATACGGCATGTGTTGTGACGGGCCAAGGTAGCATTGCGCTAGTACTTCATAATCAGCCTCATCATGGGTGACACCAACATCGGCAGTATGAGGCGGGCGTCATAGCGTATGAGCATAAACCAGTCGGACTTAAAACAGCGTGTACTGACATGGGACGCAGTATTCCGCAGATCACGCCTTCTAGAACATTACAATGCCTGGATTAGGATGCTTCGTGTCCGGGGGGAAGCAGAAAGTTCTGTTGGCTCAGGCGTGAGAAATTGCGACGTGCACGCTAGCTTGGGAAGAGAGAGAGAAAAAAGAACCCTCTGCTGCCATGTCCCCGGGGCATGGATTCATCGGTAGGCGTTCTGGTTACTAAAAAAGAACCGCCAGTGACACCCCGGCGCCTGGCCAACATGCTGTACAATTTAACGTGTAGTGCGGCGGAAGCTGTACCGCCGGCGCAAGTAGGGCCACTTTCCGGTTTAGGTCCGCTCCGGAACACCGGCGAAGGTTCCCCCGCCCCACAAAGTCGTAGGGAAGAGGGCAGGTACAGAAGTGCTCTCTCGTACCCACATACCCATTTGCACTTGGGACCGGACGAAAAATGAGGCAAGCCCCAGACCCAGCTCAGAGGATATGGGATCGCTTGTGCGGTTAGACATGGAGGCTGGAGCCGGGGCAGACCCTGATGAGAAGCGCCCCTCCCCGTGGGCCGTCTGTGGCTGGGAGACGGAGCCTACCGTCGCTACCGCCGGAGTGGTCGATGTGAAGCGTGGCATTTGACAAGCGACTATAATTCGCCCCAGTCGAATGTAGGGACCTAGGGAGGAGAAAGGCAAGCAGGCATTCTCTGGATGTTGGTCCGTCCTGTTACCTGCCTCGTGTACGTTCCAGACTTGTATCCCTCAAACAGAAAGGAAATTCGTGGCGCATGGGAGGAGGAAAGAGAGAGAGATAGAGAGCATCGGCTTAAGGAGACTTGCATCTCTTCCCCGTGTTACAGTTGGATACCGAGCTGAAACCCCGACAAACTATACATCTGGGTAGTCTGTTGCAAACTTCATGCAACGTCAATGGAACCCTAGGAATGCCGTTTTCTTCCCTCATCTCGCAGCCCAGCTCGATACACGCATAAGCAGGAGCGGGCGTCGTGGAAAGAGATTTTCGCGTCCTACTTCTATATCCGTTGATAGCATGGATCCGGGCAGAAGCGAGGCCACGTTTTTGACTTGGTTGCTTGTGGGACCGGCTCGTCAATGCGCTTCTCCTCGCGTAATATCATCGGTATAGCATGATGGAGGCTCCGTGGGAATGGAAACACAAGCCATCGCGTAGGGTCAAGGCTGGTCTCCAGATCGTTGGGAAGGCAAATGATACGCTGGGGCGCAATTCCGGGGAGCGGTAGAGGAAAAACTAGCAGGCTGGGCCAATGGCCAGGGGCAGAGGGCCGAATCTATCAGGGCCTTACTTGGTAGGTATATCCAATCCAGCTATGGCTCAATTGCCATGGCCCGAACATGGTAATTCTTCGTACTCGTACTTTGGCTTCTATTCCCCTTCCACGTCCACTTGCTGGGACGGGACTGTTAATCGTAGATGGAAGCTAATGCAGGTACAGCCGTGAGGCCACATGTGCGGGACCCACCAACGCACTCTAAGCTGCACCCCTCTGCGCGGTGTTAGTCAGCATGCATTTCGTTGGGAGGCACATTTGCATGGACACCATTTCATTCCGCTGCATCCATCCATTATGCTTTGGCCTATTGTTAGCAGCAGCCACACGTCGTCAGCCTCAAGCCGAATAACACCCAACCCCCCGGTGGTTGGATCTGATCGCCGCAGATGGGCCGCTGGCTTGCTTCCTACGGCGGCCCAGAACAGGATGCGCTGACCAGGAGGATTAAGCAACACGTATACGGATAAGCAAATCGTCAACGGAGTGATGTTCCAGGTCTCATCTGCTACGAGTACGAGTCAGACAACTGGCCATTGATTATCGCGCTGTTTCCTGGCTGGCCCCTGCTGATACGGGGATGATGTGTGGGCACCCTGCCGATTTCCAGAACTGTTCTACCAAAGGTTGCTGGAGTACCTGCATTTGCACTGTGTACGGGGCCTGCCATCTGCCTCCTCGGGACACCCCTCCCCCCCTTTCCCTGACAAAAAATAGAAGTTGCTGACACACGGCGGGCCACAGTTACGAAAGCCGCCCGCGACGAGGCAGGGGAAAAGTCATCGCGCTCCCCGTTCCCGAGCTCCGCGACCAAATGAACGGATTCAACATTCGTAGATGTGCGAGGCAATCTTGCCCAGATACACCGGCGATCGGTGCTATGACGCCCATTCTCAGGCGAAGCACCGTGAGTCTGGGCGCGCGCTCTGCCTTTTGTGTTTTGGGTGCGCTCCCAAGACGCTCATCAGAATGTCACCTTTGATGCCCAATTGCATCAGCATGGTTTGACATCCTGGATTACCGACCTACCTACTCTAGATGGGCGATCAGCGGATGTCATAATGACAGGGCCCGCCAACGCCCCTACCCAGAATGTGCTAGGCAGCAGTCCACGTGTTGGACGTATGCTTGTTTACCATCTTCGGCCCATCTCTGCCTCTACTAATGGTGTTTTGACGTAACCCTATGGTAACACCGACGAGCTGGGTTGTGCCGCCCCGACATGTTTCCAAGATCAGATGTATTTTTCACGTGCTGCACCCCACCCGGATCCCATGGCTCAGGTCAATGAAATATGTGTGACAAGATCGGCCGTAGGAAGGCGAGAGCCCTCTGTGGTCGTTTCTGCGCCTATTAGGCGACATCTGCCCATCTCGAAAAGAAATTGCAGACCATGTGTGAAACACGAACAGGCGAGATAATCTCGGTGACCCAGGGAAAAAAGGCGACTGGGTATACCTTGCCTACAACTGACAGGCTGGATCTGACCGACCGAGCTGACGTATCCATATATACATATCGACAGCCTTGATGCATGTCGCCTTGCCTTCCCTGACGGCTGGCTTCCCCGGGCATGCGCTCGCTCAAGTCCGCTGACCGAGGTGGCTGGCTCGGTAACGAGAGGCTCCAAGCAGCTCCTCACCAGCTTCTTGAGGTACCAGAGGATCGGGACGACGGGTATTCCACGCCCTAGTGGCTCTGCCCGGAAAGCGCCCCGGTGTTCCCATACGGCTGGTGAAGGCAAGGGTTTTGACCCTCCGTGTGATACTGGGCTAATTAGCTCTCGAATACTTAGCCCAAAGTATTGTTGTACAGATCCAGGGTTTATCTAAATCTGTGTTTACTGCCGAGGATGGACCAGAACGGGAATATGCTGTTCTCTGCACCGGGAAGTTGGTCGCGCAAACTGTTGGCCTGGTAGGGGGGATGATGATATAGGCTCAACTAACGACAATGGGTACCGGGAAGATGCTTTCTCCCCAAGGCCCATTGTTTGACAGCCACGATTCAGTCGGTCGGCTAACGGGAAAAGCTCACATGACCTTTAACTGGCAGTGATCTTCAGGGTACGACGCCTTGTCCATAACGCCACATGGAGATCGTGCTTGTGGGCTTGGATTGGAAGGAGCACGTTCACTTAAACGGCAGGGCAGAGGGTCTGACCCAACGCTCACGCACCGGATTTCTGATATCAGAACCGAGCTGTAGGCGAACACTGAATCATGATACATCTCCTAAACGCTGTCTAGGTATCCTGGATACTCTGGGGGACGTTAGAGCGAGGAGCGCATTGTCCTCTCCTGGTTTTGCTTTGCCAGGGGCAACAGCTAGGTAATTGCCAGTTATTATTTTTCTTGTTGGGCTAAGAAAACGAATCATTTGGCGCTAGCAGACGGAACAGAGCGCGCATCTTGTTGGGCCGCGCGAGTAAGAAGCGCTGAGCGCTAACAGCACAGGAATTACAGGCGACCGCTAGCCCAATCCAGCCAGGCATGGAAGGCTGTCCCCCCTGAAACCGGGCTCTTCCCAGGTGTTTTTGCCCCCCAAGGGATGGTGAACTTCCAGACCAGATCTCATCAATGAGAAAACGCCGACAAACCACCCTGGCTTTAAAAAATGGTGGCTGGTACCTTGATTGAGGAAGGAGAATAAAAAGGCGAAAAAGAAAACGAAAAAGAATGAGATTTGCTCCGACAAAAACAAGATCCATCGCTGCGCCCATCTCATCGAATCTGCTGATCGAGTCAGAACCAATATCCAAGCTATAGCAATAATGGGTGCCTAAATTAAGAGCAGTAGTTATGAGGCTGGTACCTGGGAAGGAGGGCTGATGCTCAACTTAGCACACGCACTTGACACGCTACTTGCAAATAATGCCCCCAGAATGTATGGAGTACGTGCGAC